TAAAGTTATTACTAAAATGACTTATTTCCTTGACATAAAATGAGACATGAAATGACTTATTTTCTTGAATCCTTCAAGCAGCCAGGCCCTGGCCCAGTCACTCAGTGGGTTAGAGCGGCATCCCGATGCGCCCAGATTGCAGGTTCGATCCCCGGTTGGGGCACACGCAGGGATCAACCAATCCCTGCATCAGGAGGCGGAGCAACAAGTCCCGCACTCCCGCTCCGAAGTCAGGGAATAGCACAGAACAAGGGCCTCATGCAGCAGGGCTTGTTACCAGCCCGTCACAGACAGGGGCCCTGAGGCTCAGGTGGCGAAGAGACCTGCGGGGGTCACCCACCAGTCTGCATACGACAGGCCTGGCCACACCGTCCCCACTGGCACCGCCGCCGGCACAGCAGGGTGCCCTGGAAGGACGCTGACCCCCCCACCCCCCCAGGGACTGTGCCCCCCAACACGAAGGCCACTCTCCAGACCTCGGGTCAGTCACTTCTCTTCCTGAAAACCGCACTTCTGCTTCTCGTCCGAGTCTGTCTGGGAAACGGGGGGAGGAGCCGGGTAGAAATGGGGGCAAACGGACAGGGAGAGGGTGCGGGTGCCGGGGGAGCGCCCCGCTCTGCGGGGGAGCTGTGAGCCGTGAGTGGGCAAGGGACGCGGGGTGCCTGGCCCCACTGCCCGGAGGCCCTGTCCCGCCCGTGTTCCTCCCCATGGACCGTGTCCTTGAGCGGACGCGGGTGGACATTCCCAGAGCCCAGCTTGTCCCGAGCGCCTTCCAGGGACGACCCGCCAGGAAAGGAAGGGAAGGAGCGGGCCGCGGACTGAGAGGTCTGAGGTCGCCCGCGTGCCGTGGGCGGGACGCAGGCGGGACGCTGGGGACGCGGCGTGGACAGTGAGGATCAGGAGCCGGGGTTCGGGGTGTTGGGGGGGTCCTCGGGGACTGGGACACCCCCTGATGGGCCTCTGGGGTGGGGGCGCCTCTCCGGTTTCTGACCTGGGGGGCGGTTACAGAGCATTTCTCCAGAAAAGCTCGTGAAGCCGGATGTCTGTGTGGCCTTCTGCATATACACTTTCCTTTATAATAAAGTCCTGGGACCCCCAAAACAGGAACCTGAACAGCGAGGTCTGGGAATGGAGCAGTCCCCCAACGCCCGCCTCCCCCCCGCCCAGGCCAGGACGGGGTCACCTCGGAGCAGCTTCTGCGCTCGCAGACGGCCTCGGCGGATTTGCCGCGTCCGGCGCCGCCTCTCTGTCGCTCTAAAACGCGGTTCCTTAAATCCACGCACCCGTTTTCACGCCAGCAAGTTTACCTGGGAGAGGAACTGGACCCTGCTGCTACCAGAGTCGGGAAACCGTGCCCACGTGTCGCAGGTCGCTGGGAAACGGGGCCCGGGGGCAGGACACTCAGACCAAATGTCCGCCTCAGCGCTGCGTCCCAGGCCGCTGGACCCTGGGGTCAGAGATGGGGCTCAGAGACGTCCTGGCCTCTCCTCCTCCGGTAATCAGGAGGCTGGGAAGAGAAGTGTTTTTATTTGTATCTTTATTGATTTTTTGAGAAAAAGAGAGAAAAGCGCTGATTTGGCGTCCCACTTATTTCAGCCTTCATCAGTTGCTTCTCGTCTGTGCCCTGACCGGGGAATCAAACCCACCACTGCGGCGCAGCCGGACGGCGCTCTAACCACTGCGCTACTCGGCCAGGGCCGGGAAGAGAGCATAGAAGAGAGGCTGACGGTGGTTAATGCCACCCTGTGTCACCCAGCATCGTCCAGGGGCGCCCAGGAGTCGGGAAACTTGGGTGACACGCACGCTCCCGGCGTGGCCCTGTGGGCAGAGGGGGTGGCCTCCGTGGCCGGCTCCAGGGGCTTGGCGAGCAGCCCCTCAGAGACTGGCAGGCGACCGCAGCCACCGGGCTGCCGGCCCCGGGGCAGTGTTGCCTGGGGACCCCTCCCCAGGGGACTGGCTGGTGTGTACTGAGCTGCGGGCTGTTCTCTGAAAAGTGGCCCATTTTCTCTGTGGATTTGTACTGGGCTGTGCACTCGGCTGCACCGTGCCCCCCCCCGACACCCCCACTCCCGGCTTCCCCTGGGGACAGGGCAGGGCACCGGTCTGGAGGTGCCCGCCCCAGGCAGGGCCGTGGCCCCGCCCTCGCCCGGCCTCCGGTGCCTCCCTGGGCTGCGAGGCTCTCCCTGAGTCCCGAGGAGGAGCCGGGGGAAACAGCAGCTAGATTGCATCATGCGTGTTTACCTGGGAACCAGAAACATTCTTTAGAAAGAGCGTCTGGAGGAAGGAAAGCGGACAAAGCTCAGTCCCCGTCTCTCCCTCTGGGCCTTGGGATTCGGGCTCCCGAGCGCTACTCAGCGCTGCCTGTCCGGTGGGGGCCGTTCCGGGCACCCTCCGCAGCCCCGAGGCCTCTCCCTGCCAGACCCAGCACGTCCGGGCCAGCACCTGGCACCCAGGCACCCTCGGCCGTGCCCAGTGACCAGCTGGCCCTGTGCCCACGCTGCCAGGCGCCTGGCCAGGGCGGTGACTGCCGGTGGACACGTCAGCAAGAGGTGGGTGGTTCTGACGATCAAAGAGGAAGAACGAGGGGGCAGCGGCCGCCCTCGCCTCGCGGGGAGCATCACGGGGTGCCGAGTGGGGGTCGTGGAGGTCGGCAACCCACGGGCGGCAGTCCTGGGCAGCACCCCCTTGTTTAAGGGGCTGCCTCCTGGGAGGTCAGAGGGGGGGAAAGTTGGGGCCTGGGTGAGGCCACCACGTGCACCCCCAAAAGTGGGGCAAAATGCCTCCCACTGTTTGACCACGAATGGTCCCCAAGGCCTGCAGGGGCGTTGAGCCTGGGGACCGGCCATGTGGCGGACGGAGGGGCGGGTGGGAGGCAGCCATGATGGTGGTGGGGCGGGGACAACCAGGGGCCGAGGTCACGTGTCTGCCGGCTGCAGCCTCGCCCGCACCCTGCTGTGTCCCCTCCCGCGGCACCCGGCAGGGTAGGTCGCAGGAAGAGTTGGTGTCCGAGAGCGTGGCCGGCCAGCCCGCACCTGCGGGACCTGAGTCCGCGCCCAGGGCCCTGGCTCCACCCTCGGCTGCGCTGGGGCGTGGGGCCTCCGGCAGGCACCGTCCATCTGCAGAGGCGGCTGTGGGGTGAATACGCCCGGGGCGGCGGGGGCAGCCTGTCCCAGGCCCTGGGACGCAGGGCTGGGGGGTTCCGTGTGTGGCTCTGCAGTGGCGGCCCCGGGCCGGGCTGGGGCCCCCAGCAGGTGGGGGTCCAACGCTTGGGAGGCTGCAGCCCCCCAGGGTCAGGCCACGGGGACCCCTGCCTCCCCTCTGCGCCCTTCCCTGCGAACTCGGGGTCCGAGCCACTCGCACCTGCAGCCTTCCCCGTCTCGCATGGCCCTCTGGCTCCTCGCTGCTGGAGCCTCTGGTCAGGCTGGCAGCCACCTCCCCTGTCCTCAGCCGTCCAAACTCGGAACCTTCTTCTGGGGGAACAGGACTTGTGTGTGGGTGAGCTCGGCCACGGCTTTAAGGCTTTTGTGAAATTCCCCCTTTGAGCCTGTGGGAGGAAGTGTTCAGCGGCTCCTTTTCCTGTGACACGGAAAATGTCGCACGTACACAAAAGCAGAGAGGACGGTGGGACCAAGGCCCCTGGACACCCCGCCGTCATCAAAGCCAGACCCAGGGGGCTGCGTCTTCTCTGCTTGGACTCTGGTTTAAAATAGACCCCTGTGCTCAACCCCCCCCCTTGTCCTCCTTTGTCACCCGCCTTTGTCACTGCTGGCCTGGGAGGCATCCGGAGGAGAGAGCCAGCCGAGGTTCCCCTCCAGGGGTGTGCAGGGTCCCGGGGCAGGGCCACGTGACCTCCCACGCCACGGCCGATGTGCAGGCGCTGGAGGGCAGAAGGCAGTGGGGAAGGTTCTGCAAGGTCGCGCCCTGGCTTGTGACACTACAGAGCCCCTGGTGGGATAGGGCCCGCCCTCCCAGAGACCCCCCCAGGGACTCCGGGCGCTGGCCCCTCCCTGCTTGGTGCCCCCATCTGTTCTTGGCCACTGGGGCCGGTCCACGGGCGGAGTGAGGGTGAGAGAGGGCTCGTCTGCGGTCAGCCCTGTGGGGTCCCTGAGCACCCAGTGTGTCCCGCCCCCCGGCCACTCAGAACCACCCCCCGCCGGGGTCCTCATTAGCACCTGCTGTTTGCTGACCAGTGGCTGGGCACTGGGGGCCCCTCGGGCCACCTGTCCCTTGGAGGACAGCCTTGTCCCACGGCCCCTGGGCCTCGGTGGAGGGGAGCTCCTTGCATGCCCCGGAGGGTGCAGTGCCCCTCCCTCCTCACTGATCTCAGCCTGGTCTGGCTCTGGGGGTCGTCTTCCCGCAGTAACCGGAGCGAGTGCACGGTCGTCGAGGAGACTTGGACGCACGCTCTGGCTGTCGCTCAGAGACCGGCCCTTTTCCTCCAGGCCCGAGGTCGCCCTGGGTCGCGGCCGTGCCTGGTTGGCACTCAGCCCCCCACCCCCACTGCCCCGAGCGCCCGCGTCCTTTGCACGGCCACCGTCACGTTCCGCCCACACCCACCCACCGACGGGGACTTCTCTCCCGTGAACGGCACCCCACAGCGCTCGTCCCCGCGGGACCCTCCACACACATTTGGGCTCCACGGGGCTGTGTTCCCTGGTAGGAAACTTCCGGAAATCAGGCCATCCGCTAAAGGATGCGCACGCTGGGCGCTTTGGGTGACGTCCACACACCGCCCCCCTGAGGGGGGCAGGGCTGAGCGGAGGCAGGATCCCCCCCACAGGCCGAGCCCAGGGCACAGGGCACGGCTAGAAAGCGGGGCGCCTCCCCCCACCAGCAGGCCTCGGCTGTGGCCACCCAGCCTGGGCGGCCCCAGGGTCCACTCAGGTTGACCGCCGACGGGAGCTGTGTCCCACCCCACCACACCAGGCCTTCTGGGGACACAGAGTGTAAAGCACAACCAACCTGAGGTTCCCCACCCCTGGAGTCTCTGCCAGGCTCACCTGGGCCCCCAAGACCCCGTGCAGCCCCCGCCCCCAGGCTGGCGGCCGGAGGCTCAGCAGCCAGGTGGGCGCCCATGTGCGGCGGTGCCCTCGGGCCTGGGCGAAACACGTGGCTGGTCACCCGTGCCCGTCGGCTGCGCTCGGAAGCCACCTTCCCTGTGGTGCTCGGTTCTTCCTTCCGCTTTGGAGCTGGGCAGGTCCACCCCTCGGGTTTGCCTTCGCTGGCTCTGCCCCAGTCAGAGGGGACAGCCTGGAGGGGGGTGGCACGTGGCCTTGGGACACAGCCCCCCCACACACACACCAGTGACCCCGGAGTCTGACCCCATGGGGGACCCAGGAGCCACCGGGAAGCCCCCCTGAGCCCCACTCAGCCCAGGGCTGGGGCATGCTGTCCCCTGAAACAGAGGGCAGGTTCTAAGACTGCCGAGGGTGGCCCTGGCCACCTGGATGGAGTGTCATCCCGTAAACCGAATGGTCACAGGTTCGATTCCCAGTCGGGGCACATGAACTCAACTCACTGATGCTTCTCTCTCCCGTCAATATCTCTCTCCCTCTCTCCCCCACCGCCCTCCTCTCTCTGTAAAATCAGTGACATCCCCTCAGGGGAGGATTTAGAAAAGAGAGCGGGGCCAGGTACCCAGGGGAAGTGCCTGTGGGCGGGCTGGGCTTCCCGGGGAGTCCCCAGAGGTGGGTGTAGACAAAGGGGTGTCAGGCTGTCAGGGCCCGTTGTGACCCAGGGCCAGCCTCCCAGCCGTCCCTAGGTCTCCCATGATGTCTAGCTGTCACCTGCTGCTCACGAGGCGCCCACTGGGGCTTCCCACCTGGAACCTGTCACTGCCTCGGGTGACCAGCATGTCACTGCCTCGTGTGACCAGCGTGTCAGGGAACTTGGAGAACGAGCCCCTTCTCTCCCCTGACGGCTTTGGGGGGGGGGCCCCTCTCCACAGCTCCGTGACACCACCAGGCGCCTCCCGGGGGGCAGTTGTCTGCCTCGGTCTCTGTAAGATGGAGTCAGGTGTCAGAGGTCATGGGTCAAGGCCACGGGGCTGGCCCCTGTGGTTACGATCAGTGAAAACATGAAAAGTCGTGAAAACGTGACTTCCTCGTTAGGAAGTAGCACCTGCCACCTAAAGTCACCGCGGCCGGCACTTCTGCGTGCGACCTTCTGGGCGTTTGCTGTTTGCCGTTTGCCGTTTCGGTCCTTTAGTCCTTCTGGCCGTGTTCGAGTTTCTCTCGTGTTTCTGTTTCTCGTTTCTGTTTTGGTCTCTGGGGGCCCTCCGCGCGGCCCCCAAGTCCCCGGGGGCAGGCTGACGTCACACCGACGCCCTCGGGAAGGAAGCTGGGCGTCCTCGTGTGTGTGGTTTTGCTCGGGACCAGGACAGGCGGCTCCCGCGCGGTCCGCTGAGCACAGACGGCCGGTGGCTGCCCCCCGGGGCCCGCGGGCTTGGTGACCCCACCCAGACGTCAGGCACCTTCCCGGACTCTCCCCCAGGGCAGGACGGGGAGGGCGTGCTCGGCACAGCGCCAGGCCTGTCCTGCCCGACTGGCACGGCTGCTTTCTCCGCCAGACGCCCTGGGCGGGGCCAGGTGGGGGCTGCGGCTGCGGGCCGCCCGCTGCCTGACTCGGGGGGGCGGCCGGCTGTCCCTGAGGGTCCCGGCGGAAGGCGGGCTCCTGCCCACCGGCCAGCACGGCGTGGTCCCAGCAGAGTAAGGCCTCAGCTGGTGGCGCAAGCGGCCCTCACCTGATGGGGGACAACCTGCGGGCCAGGCTTTGGCAGGGACAGACGCTGGAGGACCCAGCTGCAGGGTCGGCCACAGCGGGTTCTGACAGCCCGGGACCTGGGGCGGGGGGAGGGCAGCCCGCCCACCTAGAGGGGTCCTGGGCCCTCAGGGGCCGGCCGGGGGGGGGCCGGGGCTGAGGCAAGGAGGCCATGGGCTTCCCAGTGTGGAGACCACGGCCCAGCAAACATCTTCACCCGGGCTCTCAGGGCGGCCTCTGCAGATGTGGGCATCCCCCTCACTGAGGGACGATGCGGAGGCCAGGACCTGCCCCGGCAAGCTGGGGGTTCAGGGCTCCAGGAGCGAACGGGGCTGCAGGGCCTTAGGGAGCTGGCTCTCTCTCCAGCCTCAGCTCCCGCATCTGCACATTGAACAGAGCATTTGAATGCTGGGGGGTCTCTTCTGCTCCCCACATTTAGGGTCCTCCCGGCCCCTGGACTGGGCGGGGAGCAGACAGGAGGGGGAGGAGGGGGCGTCGCCTGCCTGCCACCCACCTGCGGGCTCACTCTGTGTCTGGCCGGGGAGGGTGCATGCAGGGCGGTGTGTGCGCAGTTCGGGGGGCTGCTGCTGTGTGAGAGCTGGGACCCCTGGAGCACGGGGGGGGGCTTTTCGATTTGTACGAGAGGCCCCCTCCCCGTCAGGGAAGCCAGTGGCACCTCCTGCCCCTCTGTGCGACTCAGGTTGTGATGAAACCCCTGAAACCCAATACCTGAAGGCTTTGGGGAGCCCCTACCCTGGTGCCGCATAAGGCACTCCACCCCCTGGGAGCCCCGCTGTGAGGGAGACACAGGGGTGAGGGGCGGGGCTGGACTCCTGTGCTGTGGAGGGTGGGTGTCTGGGGTCCAGGCCTCCCCAAGGCAGCCCCCAAATTGCTGGCCTGTGGGGCCACCTCCCCAGGGGGAGGGCAAGTGAGCAGGCGCCCCAGTGGGAGAGCTGGGTGAGCAGGCATCTGGGTGACATTTGCACCCCAGGAGGGTCCCCCGAGCATATCAAAGGCTCCAGAACAGAGGCCGGCCCACGGCATGGGGACCGAGCATCTTTTCTACCAGAGGGCGAGGGGTCCCCCTGGGGCCCGAATCCCCCGTCCTGTTTCAGAGGTGATGTGAGGTGCTCGTCTGGAAGGGGCGGGGTCCCCAGCCTCCTGGCTGGGCTCCTGACACCCCTCCCCCCATCGCCCCTCACTCCTGCTGGCCGAAGTTTGCATCCACGCAGCAAGTCTCCCGCTGGGGACGCTGGGGACAGCAGCCAGGCCTGCGTGGGGACGTGGTGGGTCAGCCCTGCAGAGGGGCCACGCCCGGCCCAGCCGCCTGGCAGGGGCTGCCTAGCCCGGGCCTGGGAGTGGCTGGCTGCAGAGGAAGTGGCCAGTGGGCGGTGCCCAGGCTGGCTGGCTGTGGCACTGAGCTTGCCGTTGGCCCAGTGTGGGTCAGGAGGCCAGGCGGGTGGGTGCTGGCAGCCATGTGACCTGGCTCAGTCAGCCAGAGAGCCTCAAGGTGTGGCCGTCACCGTCCCCTGAGCAGGGTAAGTCCCTTCCTGCTCCCTCACCAGGGCTCAGCCACTCAGCTGTTATGTCTGGGAAATGTCCCTCTGGGGAGGCCTGACACCCCCCCCGCCCCGCCCCCACCGCCCGAGCCTGGCCCACTGCCCTTCTTTCTGCCCTGCCATCGGCCACCTCCTCGGGGCGGAGGGCACTGGAGGCTTGGAGCTGCGCCACCTCCAGGGGACCGGCCGTGGCTTCAGCCACAAGACCTCATGCTCGTCTCTTTCTGCCTTGGGGCCGGTTTCTGCCTCTGAAAACGGGGCGACGAGCCCCACTCCCCTCGCCTGCGGGTGTCACGGGGCCGTGTCAGGTGGGGAAGAACCCCCTGGAGGGCCTGGGGCACTGAGGGTCCATCAGCCCCGGGGACTGGACGAGCCCCAGCCCGGTCCCAAGTGTGGACCGCAGTCCGGCCACGCACCCGGGCGCTCCGGCAGGCCCAGAAGCTGCCCCCACAGGGTCGGGTCGGGTCGGGTCAGTCTGCCTACATGTGTGGCAGCCCGGCACGCCCCCGGGCCCCGAGCTGGTTCTGCTCCTGGGGCAGGGGTGGCCTCCGCAGGGTGGTATTCTCTGCCCTTGTGGTCACTGGCCTTAGGGGCCGAGCAAGTAAGTGTCTGGAACGCAGCAGAGACACCCACGTCCAAGCCCTCCCTGTGGTATCAACGCAGTGGCCGCCGTCCTGCCCTGGGACCCTCCTGCCTCTCCGGGGAGTACGCAGATGGGGTGCCAAGCAGGTGGGCTTACGCCGCCTCCCCGGAGCCCCCCCGTGACTTTGGAGCCGGCCCCCCGAGTCCTCGTTGAGTCCGCCTGACCAGGCAGCCGTGTGCGTGCAGGCGCGTGGGTAGCGGTGGCCGGACCTGGCACACCTGCTCCTGCCCCCACCAGGTGCCATGCTGGCAGCCCGAACCCCATCGCTGCTGCCCGGGGACAAGGTTCACCTTCCCTGCCATGCAGGGGCCCGCCTGTCACCCTGCGCCCCTGCGGGCACTGGGGAGGGGCTCACACTTTCTTCCCCGTCTCGGCCTCTGCCCCCGCCCCAGAGCAAACCCCCACCCACAAAGAGGGACGCAGAGACAGGCACGGCCAGCTGAGGCTACCCCACCACCCGAGGCAGGGCTGGCTGCTGTCCCCCAGCCCTGTGTGCTGCCCCCCAGACCTCCGAGGCACAGTGACGGCGATGATGGCGGGAGGGAAGTGGTCGGCAATGCCCCCCACCCCGCCCTGCAGGTGGGGTGCGATTCCTCCTGAACCTCAGCCCCTCCCACGGAGACAGAGGCGTGGGGACGCCCGTCCCCAGATACCACGTGTGCCTGGGCAGCCGGGACCTAAGGCAGAGCGACCTTTGTTTACAAGGGCTCCCATTGTTCTGGCCTGAAGGTGGGCGTGTGGGTGGCAGGAGGGGCCGGTCTGGCAGGCAGCTCCCCGTGGGGGAGGGGCAGCAGCGTGCCCCCCGGAACGGGGCTGGCTGGGGCTTCCCCTCTGTTCTCCAGGCCTTGCTCCTGGCCAGTGTGCCTTGGCACTGGATCAGAGAGCTCGTCACCTGCCACGTCTGTCACCTGCCAGGTCCCAAACAAGCCACTGAACTCAGGGACGGGGAGGGGGGCGGGGCACCAGCTCGGCCGGGGCGGGGCCTGACCAGCACCTTCTGCTCCGAGCCGGCACCACCTGGACCCGCTGCCCACTGAGGTTGGGGTGCTCGGCCCACAGCGGGAGCGGGGCCATGCTGGCGTCAGAGCCGACTCCCCCCCACGCTCTGCCCTGGTCGCCCCTGGACATCGAGGTGGCCCAGGAACCTCAGGCTGGGTGACTGCTGGCTCAGCGAGGGGTCTGTTTGGGGAACGGGGTCCCTCCTGCCCTGCCCTCAAGGACAGGCTCCTGCGGGGCTGTGGGTGGCAGCCTGGCCCAGGGCGGCAGGCACCGCCCTCCCAGCCCCCAGCCCGCCCGGGGCTGCAGACCCTCAGATCCCCCTTGTCTGCCAGGGCCCAGCGGCCAGGCTGCCTTCCGCGGCGGCACCGGGCACCTGGCGTAGGGGCGTGGGGTGGCCACCCAGGCCCCTCACCAGGGTGGTGTGGGAAGTCAGCCCCCAGCCCGGCCCTGGCCGCCTGTCTGAGGACCCTCCCTGACCCACAGACGAGGAGGAAGGAGGCCTGGGGCCCCTCACGCCTGCTGCACAGCCTGCTCCCTGTGCCGGGAGAGACGCAGGGGACAGGCGGACGGACAGATGGAGAGGCAGGCACGGCTCCCTTCCCCAGGACCTGCCCCCCCGTGGGGAAGAGCTGGCAGAGGGTCCGTGAACGTGAAAGCCGCCGGGAACCCACAGCGTGGGAGACACAAGGGGTGGCAACCCCTGGGGAGGTGACATTTAAGTCAGCGTGGACGCGTGGAATTCGAGAGGGACCCAGCCACCAGAGATGTGGGCAAGGGCGTCAGGGGGGCGGGGAGTCCCTGAGCACAGGCCCCTGGGGAGGGGAAGGGCTCGGCAGACCGGGCGACAGAGCGAGGTGGGCGCGAGGCGGGAGGAGGGCACGGGGGTGGTGGAGATGATCCCACGAGACCGAGGGACCCTGGGGCTGGCCTGAGCTCTGGAGCAGCGAGGAGCCACCGGGGTGAGGTGGCCTGGGTTTACCTTGGCAGCGACCAGAAAGTCTCCCCTTGACCCCCGGAGATAACCCACCCGGCGAGCGTGGGCGGCCCCCCCAGTAGCAGCCAGGGGTGGGCGCTGGGAACCAGGGACACCTGTCTCGGGAGGGCTGGGCAGAGCCTGGAGCCGCCGGGTAAGAGGGGCCGCCCCCCGTTGGAGCTGGCAGGGGCCCTGGTCTGGGGGCAGCAGGGCACGGAGGGGGCGTTCACCGTACACACGGGGCTGCATTCGAACCGGTGGGGTCCCCCCCTTTGGTTCGGTTGTTCCAGCGTCACTGCCGACGTGTCTGCTGGGCAAGTGGGGAAGGCGCGGGGAGCGGAGAGGCAAAGCAGGCTGCTGGGGTGGGGGGCTGGCTGGGAAGAGTCCTCGGGGGGGCGGTGGTAGGTGGTGGACGGATGGACCATAGGCAGATGGGAGGGTGGCAGATGCTGGGTGGATGGTGGATGGATGGTGGGTGGGTGGGTGGGTGCTGGGCGGGTGGGTAGAGGGCGGATGGCCTGGAAGGTGGGTAGATGGATGGACAGCCAAGTGGGGGAGGGATGGGTGATGGGTGGGTGGGTGGCTGGTTTTATAGCCAGTCCAGCTCGCTGGCTGGAGCACAGGCATTGCCAATTAGCTGTATGGCCTGGGGCCGAAACCCTAGTTCCTCGACCTGTGAAATGGCGAAGGTAGCACCCCAGTCAGGTGGCGGGACGGTGATTGGGGACAGAGGAGGAGGGGCTGGCCCAGCCCAGCCGCAGCCTTGGGGCCCGCCCACCCCTGCGGCCGGGGGTGAGGGCACAGAGAGGAGGTTTTGGGGCTGCTGTAGGAGCCCCAGCCACAGGTGCCCAGCGCCACCCACCACTCCTGCAGCCCCTCCCCGGCCGCCCACCGGCCCCGCCAGAGCAGGAAAGGCCCTGTGGGTGCGAGCCCCGCCCAGGAAGGCCCAGGGCCCTGGGAGGGAGTGCGGCCATTGTCCTGGGCTGGGCAGGGGGCCTCGGGCCCACCAGGGGAGTGGCAGGCGGCAGCCCTGGGCCTGAGGAGAGAGCCCTCTGGGTCACCAGGCTCGCCCGCCCGTGCCCCCTCTCTCTGGGCTGCCTCCCTGCGTGCGTGTGTCCACGGCTGTCTCCCCACCGTGGAGTTTCATCACCAGAGAAGGAAAGTCTGGTGGCCCAGCTGGGGTCAGTGGCCGCCGCAGGGCCACTCGGCTGGGGCCGGGGTCCTACGGAGCCAATGTGGAGCTAGGGCGGGGGGGCTGTTCTGTGACAGGCTGTGCTGGGGCTCGGCTGTCACCGCGCCCCCTCGCTGGCCCTGGCAGGTCCGCACTCAGCTGTGCGGCCCCCCGGGCCGGCCGGCCGGCCCTGCCGAGCTGCGGGTCCCTGTCTGAGACATGGGGTGGGGGGCTGGGTGTGAGACGGGGTGGCCCCTGCCACTCAGCCTGACTTGCTGGGGGGGAAGGTGGTGGCCCCCGGCTCGGCCCCCAGTGCTGCCCCCGGTCTCGTGCGTGGCGAGGGTGACCCCGTGCTCTGCTCCCTCCCTCGCAGAAGCCCCCCGGCGCCCCCGCCATGAAGGAGGAGGCCTTCCTGCGCCGCCGCTTCTCCCTGTGCCCGCCGTCCGCCGCCCCGCAGAAGGCCGAGCCCCGGAGACCCGCCCGGGACCTGCTCCTCGGCGGGGACAGCGAGCTGTGCCCACCCAGCCCAGGTCAGTGCCCGGCCCGGCCTGTCCTCCCGGCTCTGCAGCCCCGCTGTGTGACCTCGGCAGGTCCCTTCCCGCCTCTGTGCCTCCTGGGTCAGGGAGGACCCCAGCCTTGCTCACCCCGCCAACCCGGTGCCGGGGGCTGAGCGCCGTAACCCAGGGCCAGGTGGAGCCCAGGCGGCCTTGGAGGTCCGGCGGGAGCCCCCAGTCCAGGCTCTGGGGGCAGCCCCGCACCCTCGGAGAGGTGGTGTGGTGGTGTGGTGCAGCGGCCCCACACGCGGGTGGCTGGGACGGGGGGCCTGAGTCCCCACCCAGCTCTCCTGGCTGAGGGACGGTGACACTGGGCCAGCGGCAGGACCTCTTCGGCCTCGGTTTCCTCGTCTGTGAAATGGAGGTGACATCAGGACCTGCTCCTAGCCTCAAAGGAGTCCCGGGCTCCAGGAGGGGACGGTCAGGCCAGGGCTCCCCGCTTCCTCCAGCCTGCCCACGCCTCCCCGCTGCCCATTCCGGGCGGGAGGCAGGAGGGAGGAGCCCCTTCCTGGCCGCAGCAGCCTCTAGGGAGCCTTGGAGTGTCAGGCCTGTGGGCCCTCAGCGCTCGAGGGGCTCTGGGCCCGGCTGGTCCAGAGTCTCATCAAGCACATGGGGAAACTGAGGCAGCAGGTGGTGTCCTGTGGATGTACACCGCAGGTGGGGGGTGCAGGCACCTGGGGAAGTAAATCCCACATTTATTCTCTGTTACCACGCCCTCACAGGAGGGGTGGGGAGAGGACGGGTCCCCAGGCTTGGGGGGAACTGGCACCCCGGTCTCTCAGGTGTTCTGGGGGTCCCCAAGCCCTCCCCACCCAGCGGGCAGCAGCCCACGGGGAAGCCGCAGGAAGGAAAGGGCCCCTTTGCAGGCGGAGAAGGCCCCTGTCATGCCCAGCGAGGGCTTAGGGTCAGGGGTGTGGGCGGCGGTGCTGTTCCGGGGTCCCCCCACACCCCAGGTGAGCCTGGGACCCGCAGGACGGCGGCACTTCCTCGGGCGCCCCTGCTGGCTGCGCTGCTCCCCGGCCCCAGCCCCCCAGCCCCTTCCCAGGCCTGCCTGGGCGGGCTCTCAGGGAGCAGGTCCTCCCGGCCCAGGTCCTCACGGCCGCCAGGGCGGCTTTACGCCCAGGGCTCCCACCTCTGCTTCTCAGCCCAGCGGCGGGGACTTCCTCCTGCCCAGAAGCCCTTGCTCAGGGAACCCGCTTTGTGACAAACAGGGCGGGGGAAGGGCAGCTGACAAGTCAGGCCCCGGCCCTCCCTCCGTCCCCAGGAGGGATGGAGAGGTCTGCAGGGTGCACACAGGGGCCCTGTCCTCCGCCTCCCTTCCCGGGCCCGGCTGTCAGGGCAACAGGATTCGGGAAGGGGATTTGGGGCGTGGGAAGAGGCCAAGCATGGCCCTGGGCGGGGGGGGAGGGGCTGCACCGTCGTGTGCCTCCCAGCCTGGACTCTGCGTTTCTCACCTTCACACACCCACGAGGCACAGCGCCCGAGGCAGCCCAGCTCCTCCCTGCGGGTTGCAGAGGCTGGGCCAGAGCTCTGGGTCCCTCCCAGCGTTAACGGTGACACAGTGACACACTGGCTGGTGCCGATTAGATCTCTCAGGCAGTGCCCTACAGCTGCCACCGCCTCCGACTGGCTTCCTGCCCCACCCAGGCCGCCCGCCACGTGAGGGCAGCCCGCCGAGCGGCCGGGCGCCCGCCGTGCGCCTCACCGCAGAGCTCTCTTGCAGGGAAGGACATGGAGCCGAACGGCCCATCGCTGCCACAGGACGAAGGGCCCCCGACCCCTGGCTCCGCCACCAAGCTGCCACCGGTAAGAGCCTGGCCACCAGAGGATCCCAGAGCCGAGAGCCCGCCTAGGGGACCACGGGAGGTGGCAGGAGGAAGGGGGCGCGGGGGCACCAGCGAGCCCGTCATTCCGGCCCATCGCAGGGGTCTGCTCGGGACCCCGGGCTCGGGACCCAGGGAAGGCGGCCGCCCGCACACGGCTCCGCTCCGTTGTTCTAGGAGAGCCGCCCGCTGGGTGTGGCTCGGGACGGGCGGGCCGGCAGGGTGTGGGCTGCGAGGTGGCATTCGGGGACAGAAAATCGTGGTACAAGGAGCCCCTTTGTCACAGTGAACGCCCGGCGACACCAGCCTGTCCTCCCTCAACCCCTGCCTGTGCAGCTCCCTCCTCCAGGTCCACCCTCTGCAGGGGACGAAGTGTGTGTACACGCTCACACACTCGCATACACCCACACACACACATGCACTCACACTCACACATAACACACACATTCACACTCGTCCACACACAATCACACTCAAACACATACACTCACACACTCACATTCACACTCACACACTAATGTGTACACGAACACTCGCACGCTCAGCCATGCCCTCTAAGCAAACCTTCACTCCAGGGAGGGTGAGGAGGCCCAGGCGCCCCTGTGAGTGCCAGCCCACCCTTCCCTCTCCTGGGAGCCGGCCCTCACGCCCTGGCACAGCGGGGTGGCTCTGGGCTCTGGGGATGGGGTGGGGACAGCACAGACAGAGGCCAGGCTCTCCCCCCACCCCGGCCACCTGCGCCCCCTGGCCAGCCTGGCTCCTCTGGGGCCCGTGCCCAGGAGCGAATGGGGGCTCGTGGAGGTTCTGATGGGCTGCCCCTGTGTCCGCCTCAGGGGGAGCAGCCGCCAGACCTCTGGTGGGTGCCCCGCCGCCCAGCCTGCGTGTCCCACCCTCGGCCCAGGGCCAGCAGTGGGAGCACCTGCACCTGTGTGTGTGTGTGTGTGTGTGTGTGTGTGTGTGTAGATGAGCACGTGAGGGTGTGGGTGAGTGTGCGTGAGTGTGTGCATGTGATGTGATTGTGTGTGTGGTGTGAGTGTGTGTGTGTGTGTATCTGCCTCTGTGTGTAAGTGCGTGTGGTTGCCTGTACATGTGTGCACGTGTGTGTGTGTTGTGGAACTTGTAGTAATTTGGGGGAAAATTTCAATTGCAGAAAGGTAGAGAGAACATAAAATTTCCCGTCCCGCCCGCTTCTCAGCGCACCGCGCAGCGGCGTTAAACACACTCACACTGCCGCACGGCCGTCACTCCGCCGTCTCCAGAACTTTCCGTCTCCCCCCGCCCCCGGCGCTCTGCCCCCACTCCACACTCGCTCCCCGCCCGCCCCCAGCCCCCCACCCCCCTCGCCCTGCTCTCTGTCTCTGAACCCGACCCCTCTGGGCCCCCTGCGCGTGGGGTCACGCAGCATCTGTCCTTCTGCGTCTGGCTCACCCAGTGGGTGCACATTTGAGCCTCTTCCACGTCTTGGCTGCTGTGACCCACGCTGCCGGGAACGTGCGTGCACACACACTCGTCAGCCCACGCGGCTCCCTGCTCTTCAGGGGCCCTGCTCTCGGCTCCTTGGACGTGTGGGCGCAGGGGACAGCGGCTCTGAGCCCGCTGCGGCCCCGGGCCCGCACCCACGCCCCTCCTCCCCGCCCCGGGCTGGCTCTCTTGCAGGCAGACTGCAGGCCGTGCAACGGGTCCGACAAGGAGTGTGTGTCCCCGACGGCCAAGATCACCAAGAAGGAAACTCTCAAGGTGGGCAGGGGCCTGGGGAGGGGTCCGGGTGTTCTTTGTGGGGTGAATGGGCACCTGGGCCAGTGAGGCCACCCCCAGCTCACCCAAGGACGGGGACAGACGGCGGCCCAGCCACCTCCGTGCCCTCCCCTTCCGCTCCGCTCCGCTCCCTGCCCCGCTGGACCGTGGAGGCGCCATGATGGAGGTCCCGGCGGCCACGGCGACGGGAGGAGCCAGCGTGGTGGGCCCGGACCTTCCCCCTTGACACACCCGCTGGGGGCCCCCCGGCAGGTGCAGAAGGAGAACTACCGGCAGGAGAAGAAACGCGCCACGAAGCAGCTGCTCAGCGCCCTGACGGACCCCCGCGTGGTCATCATGGCCGACAGCCTGAAGGTAGGCCCGACGGGCACGCGTGTCGTCCCGGTGTCCACGCGGCTCGCTGGGGAGGCCTCCACAGCGGCCATGCAAAGTCGCCAGCCGCTCAGCGGACCGGTTAACCTATCTGTTACCGTAAATCCCGGCCCCCGTCCTGGGCTGCCCTAACAACCGACCGCAGGCCAGCGACTCCAAACCAGAGGAGTTTATTCTCTCCCAGGCCGGGGGCCAAAGTCCGGAGCTAAGGTGCCGGTGGGGCCATGCTCCCATGATTCCAGGGGAGACCCTGCCTGCCTGTCCCAGTTCTTGGGGCTCCTGGGGTCCTGAGCTTGGGCCGCTCCCTCCACCCCCTGCCTCGGTCTTCACAGACCCCTCCCCCGCCCGAGTCTAGTCCCTTCCGGGGTCAGAGCCCACCCCACTCCCTGCGGCCACATCTGCACAGACCCTGTGTCCCACCAGGAAGGGGGTGAGGCCCTGCTGGTGGGGGTCCCAGGTGCCCATGGAGCCCTTCGCTGGGGCGCAGGGGCCCAGGGGGAAACTCGGTCTTTGTGGGAGAGGACTGGGGTTGGGGTCGCAGGCCCGTGTTCGGACTTCACAGAGGCAGTGGGTGGCTCCCTCAGCCCCCGCCCAGCCTCGATGTCCCCCTCCATACACTGGGGGTGGGGGTCGGGGGACCGTGAACAGCAAACCAGACAGGCGTGAGAGGAGCGTGGTCATCCGCGGCGCCCTGGGCTACCCCTTCCATGTGACCCTGCAGACCTGGGGGTAAAGAATGAGGTGCAAGAGTGAATGTGTGTTTAGAATGGGAGAGGAAATGACAGACATCGAAATTTGCAAAGTGACAGTGACAACCGTCACAGCTCACCACTGTGGGAGGGCCTTGAACCTGGGCTGCACGAACTCCAGTGAGCCGGTCCTGGCTGCCGTGCCTTCTCTAGAGTCACTCTAATTCATGAGCCTCTTTGAAAAACGAAACGAGACCGGTGCCTGCAGCCCCGAGCCCCACCCTGCTCGGCCCCCCAGGCACCCACGCCCCGCCCCCCACCAGATCCGAGGGACCCTGAAGAGCTGGACCAAGCTGTGGTGCGTGCTGAAGCCGGGCGCGCTGCTCATCTACAAGACGCCCGAGGTGGGCCAGTGGGTGGGCACGGTGCTGCTGCGCTGCTGTGAGCTCATCGAGCGGCCCTCCAAGAAGGACGGCTTCTGCTTCAAGCTCTTCCACCCGCTGGACCAGTCCGTCTGGGCCGTGAAGGTGCGGCTGGGGGAGGCCCGCGGGGGGCCGTGCGGGGGATGGGCGCCACCGGGCGGTGCAGGTGTGGGAGAGGGCTGTCCGTGCCACATGGGCCCGCCAGCCGGCTGTGGTCCCTGGCACTCCGGGTGGAGCGCAGGGCGCGGCTCAGGGCCCAGGGGCACCGTGGGGTCAGCATCCCACCTGTCTGGAGGCGGGGGAGTGGGTCCTGTGGGCGGCTGGCTGCTCCGAGCCTCAACCTCAGCCCTCCTCCCCGGGCTGGCCGGCCCAGGGCCTGCTGCGGCCAGGTCGCCAGATCCAATCCGGGAGGCCCAGTGAGAGCCGGGTGTCAGAGAGACATCCAACAGAGGATTTAGGACAAGTGTGTCCCAAATATTGCACGGAATACACTTAGGCTTTTCAAAAAGGTGTTATTATTTTTCTGAGATTCTAATTTAATTGGGCCCGCTGGATTTGCACGTCCTGCTGCTGGCCACCCTGGATTGGGGGGGCTCGGAGCTAGAAAGCCGCTAAGGAGGGGGACAGAGAACTCCCCGTCCACGCTCCTCTCCCGCTGCCCGCCCTGGCTGCGTGGTGGGTGCCTGACGCCGCCTGGAGACCCTGAGGCCCCAGAAGTGCCTGTGCACTTCTGTGCGTGTCCCAGTGGCTCCGAGTGGCTGCATCGCCTGTGTTTGCTCCTGTGCTGGGGTGTCCTTGGGGGTGACGTCGGATGTCTTGCCCCTCCAGGGCCCCAAAGGAGAGAGTGTGGGCTCCATCACCCAGCCCCTGCCCAGCAGCTACCTGATCTTCAGGGCCGCCTCTGAGTCCGACGGTGAGTCCCACCTGCTCTGCGTGATTCCGCAGTGACCTGCCCCCCACAAGCAGTGTCCCCTGTCCAGGAGGCAGCCTGCCATCCCTGGACAAGACTGGCGTCCGGCAGGCCTGCCACTCACTAGACCGGCCTCTCTGGGCCTGTTTCCCCTGGGACAGAACGTGAATAATAGCACCTGTGTCCCAGTTGTTGTGAGGGTTTGATAACCTCATGTAATGCAGCCGGGTAACAGTTACCGGGCCCCAACCGCGTGCCAGGCAACCACCGAATCAACAGATTCCACTGTCATCACCCACCTTTGACCCAGGAGGCAGGGGGAAATCCCAGCAATAAACTGAGGGAGCGAGGGTAGGAATCCCAATTTCCTCCTCCCCAGAGCATCGCGCTTTGTTGGAGCGCCCTCCAGTGGCTGCTCCGAGTAAAGTGGCTGCTGCTTCCCCCCCACAAAACCCTGACCCAGCCCTAAGGGCTGGCACCTCTTTGGGAGATGGGGTGAAGGGCTCCCACCCTACCACTGGTTCAGGGTGGGCTGAGCTCTGTGCACAGGGCAGCCTGGCTTGACCACTGGGCTCCGGCCCTCCGCGTGGGGGTCTTAGGCCCCGGGAGGACCTGCTGGTGGCACAGCGCCCCCTGGTGGTCAGACGCTGCATCCACGCCCCATGTGAAAAGTCCACCCTCCTTTCCCAGCCCCCACTGGACACCAGGCTCCACGTGGGCCCGGGATGGACAGGGAAGCCATGCCCTCCGGACCCCGAAGTCTGGTGGGGGGCAGGGCGGGGCGAGGGGACAAATCGGGAGCGGGCACACAAGGGGGATGGGACCGCTGGTTCCTGGACTTGCAGGTTGGGGATCCCTGAAGGGCAAGGGCAAGGGTAAGGGGGGAGCTTCCTGGGAGGGAGACTGGGGCGCTCTTCGGTGAGCACAGGCAGAGGCAAAGGATGAGTCCCCCAGGTTAGAGGTGCGGAGGGTAGGGCTTCAGGGAATGGGGCAAGGACGCCCTCTAGGGCAGGGGACAGGCGTCCAGACCCCTGGGGAGCCTGGGCCCCCCCAGGCAGTGATGGGGTGGGGGCGGGACACTCTCTGGGACAGGGGTGGTTGTCCAGGTGGATGGGACTGGGCGCCCGGTGGGGTGCGGGGCAGGTGGAAGCTGAGCAGTGGGGACCCCCCCCACCCCCGCCGGTGGCTCACACAGCGTCCCCCGCCCAGGCCGCTGCTGGCTGGACGCCCTGGAGCTGGCCCTGCGCTGCTCCAGCCTCCTGCGTCTCAGCGCGTGCAAGCAGGGCGGCGACCGGGGCGAGCCTGGGTCCTCGCCTGACGCGTCGCCCTCCTCGCTCTGCGGGCTGCCGCCCTCGGCCGCCATGCAGGACCAGGACCTGTTCCCGTGAGTGGGGCGCGGCGGGCGGCGTGGGCCCCTCCCAAGAGCCCCAGCTCCTGCCGCTGGGGACCCCGGCTCTCGCTGGCACTGACACTCGGGTGTCCTTGTGTGGGGAGGGGCACTAACGCCCCGACCGTGTGCTGCCGGGCACCCCCACCTCTTTCACTGCACAGGGGACCCAGGAGCCTCAGTTCCTCCATCCATAAGCTAGGCTGACAGTGTGCATGGCAGTTGTGCAGGGGATGAGACCCAGGGTGGGGCACCTGGGGAGCGGCGCCTGGGGGGGCGGTGCCCAGAGGTGGGGATGCTGGGCCTCACTTGTGACCCGGGACCCACGGGCACCTTCCAGACTGAACGGGTCCTCCCTGGAGAACGACGCTTTCTCAGACAAATCAGAGAGAGAGGTTGCGGAGGAGTCGGACAGTGAGACCCAGGGGCACAGCCGGAAGACCAATGAGAGCGGGAGTGACCAGTCGGAGGCCCCAGGGAGGCCCAGCGCCTCGAGGGACCACCTACGTGGAGCAGGTCCAGGAGGAGCTGTGGGAGGTGAGACCCCGCCCAGCCTGGGACCCAGGCCGCCCTCCACCTCATCCCCACCCGCTGAAGCAGCCCTGGCCACGCCTGATGCCCCCCAGGGCCAGTTTACGGGGCCCCTGCAGGCCCCCCAGGAACAGCACGAGGGGGAGCCGGCTGAGGGCCATGAGGGCTCAGGCTGAGGGTGTGGGGAAGGCCATGGGGGTGTGGGCTGGGGGCCTGCAGGGTCCAGGTGAGGGCCTAGGGGCCGAGGCGGATGCTGGGGCCGCAGGGGAGCGGCTGTTGCCCAGGCACTGAGGTCCAAGGGCCCGTGGCTGTGAGAGGGGACAAGTGGGGTTTCAGGACACATCCGGAGGCGGTGGCAGGTCCCCAGCAGACTCGACACCAGGGCTCTGGGAAAAGAGCTGAAGGGGGAGCTTTGGGGGGAGACAGCAGTCTGGACATTCGGGCATGGAGCCCAGGCACCCCAGTCTGCAGAGGCTGAGCAGAGGCTGCTCGAGGGGCCCAGGGAGGTGGAGGGGAACCAGGGCGCCCCTGGGGGCAGGGGGTGGTGCAGGCGCCACAGGGAAAACCACAGAGAGGTGGAGCCGGAGAGAGAGGGCGAGTCCCAGCTGGTGGTGACATCACCAGGGCACTATGGGCGGGGTGGGGAGGGCAGGGCTGACGGGGCTGGGGTGCAGGGTTCTCAGCTGGGGCTGCTGCCTCCTGAGCCCCAAAGGTGGCCTGGAAATTCAGGCCAGGGACCCAAAGCCTCCGGGTGTCGGGAGTGGCCCTTTGTCCAGGGCCTCCCTGTCCCCTAGGTGCCTGGGGATGCTGTTCAGTCGAGGGCCCCCTGCCACGACCACAGCTGAGCAGAGAGGCAAAGCGACTCACCTAAGGCAGCCCAGCAGGGTGGCGACTCTGTTGTGTTGCTGTCCTGGGCGTGGCTGCCGCCTGTGGCCCCGATTTAGATCCCCGCACACAAGTCACCGGTCCCCTCTGTAAAGTAGGGTGACTGAGGGGGACGTCTCGGGAGGTGTGGGAAGAAGGAAGGGGCTCGCCCACAGCCTGGGGCCTCTGGGGACTCAGGGGGCGCCGCCAGGGGCAGCCGCACCCCAGGCCAGATGTCGGAGCCCCAGAGGCCCCCAGCGGTGCTGGCAGGAAGACTGTGAGGGCCCAGGAGATGACAGGGGCTTGGTGGCGGCCCGGGCAGTGCGGGGGACCGGGGCTTCCTGTCTGGCGAGCAGCCCTCGGAGGAGGCCCCCCCTCAGTGGCTCTTCCCGAGGTCCCCGTGGCCTCCCGAGGCCCTGCTGGGGGGTGGGGGTGGGAGGCAGCGCCTCAGACAACACCGGAGGGTGGGGGCAGCCCCCACCTCTAGCCATGGGGCCCTGGACAACTGAGGGCCCTCCCTAAAGAAAGCGAAAGCGGGAAGCACCCGTGTCAGCCCGTCCCCTGAGTCACCCAGCAGTCATGAAGGTCGAGCGGGGTAGAGGGCGGTTGTCCTGTGCAGGTGACACTTCCCGCCACAGGTGCAGAGGTGTGCAAGGTCCCCAGGTGGGTTTCAGCAGCCAGGATGGGGGCGGCTCCACCCTGGACTCTGAGAGTAGGGGTAGGCCCAGGTGCGCAAGGAAGGGAGGTGGGCCAGCCAGGCGGAGACTCTGCTGCAAAGGGCAGGGGTCAGGCGGGGCCAGGGAGGGGTGGGGGGTGAGGTACAGCCTCCCCACCTCCCATCACGGCCCCTCCAGCCGGAGGCCCTGCCGGTGCCCCGCCCGCCCCTCCCAGCTGGCCCGGCGGCTCTGTGCCGGGGGCCTGACTGCTGCCCCTTTGCCGGCAGGGGGACGAGGCGTCCCAGGTGGAGACGGTGTCGGAGGAAACCAAGAGCCTGATGTGGGAGCTGCTGAAGCAGCTGCGGCCGGGCATGGACCTGTCCCGCGTGGCGCTGCCCACCTTTGTCCTGGAGCCCCGCTCCTTCCTCAACAAGCTCTCCGACCACTACTACCACGCCGACCTGCTCTCCAGGTGAGCGGGAACGCTCCGTGTGCGCCCAGGGAGCCCGGCCCCCTGTCCCCGCCCCCGCCCCGGCTCTGCCCGCCGTCCCCAGGTTTCTGGAGGGTCCCCCCAGCCGAGGCTGAGCTCAGTCCACTGTCCCTGCTGGCTCGGCCTCCGAGGGGACCCAGTCTCCCAGAGCAGCCCCTGGAGGAGCTGGTGGGGAGGGGCAGTGGGGCAGCTCCAGGCCCGGGCAGGGCAGGAGCTGTCAGGGGGAGCATGGCTGGGGCCCCCAGCACCTCTGCACCCCAAGCGCTCTGCCCGGTGCTGGCGCCCTGAGCTGGACCACAGGCTGGGAGGGGCCCACGCAGAGGGAGCTGGGCAGGGGCGGGAGCGTCGGGGGCAGGGAGGAGGGTGACCCAGGGCCCTGGACTGGAGCGAGGGAGCCCCCCGTGCATCTGTGCGCCTGCGCATCTGTGCAGGGCCGCGCTGGAGGAGGACGCCTACAGCCGCATGAAGCTGGTGCTGCGGTGGTACCTGTCCGGCTTCTACAAGAAGCCCAAGGTGAGGTGCGGCGGCTGCAGCCCTGAGAGATGCCCCCGGCCCCCACCCCGTGTCCCTGGGCCGTCCCCTACCCCGCAGGGCCTGGAAGGGTCCTGCTCCCCCCGCCCACATGGCCCCAGGCTCTTAGATGAGGTACGGGCACTGGCTACAGAGCGCCCCCCGCCCCCACCTGTGGGGCCCCTGAGTGTGCTCCTTGCCCTCAAGGGATCAGCCTCCACACACGTGGGGCAGCAAAGGGGCTTCCAGCCCTGGACCCCGGGGTGCCTGTGGGCTCCACGGTTTTCAGCCCTGGAGCCCCGTTTGAGAGCCCCAAGTTCAGGCTCAGGTGGGCGCTGGGCTGCTACTGCAGTGATGGGGGGGGGCTGTGTCCCCTCCCGGTCTCGGCCCCACCACAGAGCCCTGAGTTGCCCTGGGGCACAGCTTGAAGCCTCGACTCTGGCTCCCACAATTTGCTGTGCAGATGGGGAAACTGAGGCTCGGGGGGTGGGCAAGGGACAGCCCCAGAGTGACACAGCAAGTTGGGAGTGGAACCAGGTCCCCCAGCTGTGCCGGGGGCTCCTCAGAGAGGGGCCCCATGGCCCCCGGCAGCACCAGGTGTGGGCACGCTTAGCAGCCCGGGACACATGGGCTGTGGAGGCAGAGGGGGCACTCAGGGGGACTTCCCGGAGGAGGAGGCTCCACCTGTAAGGCTGTCTGGAACAGGACAGTGGGGTGACACGCGGTCGGTTCAGAGGTGGCTGTGGGAGGCCTGGCAGAGGAGGGACCGATGGGAGGCATGCAGGGCGTTCTGCAGGCCACTGTCACAGGGTGAGGCGGACGGCGACAGCTGGACGTGACAGAAGGGGGGTGTGAAGGGCACGGCCCGGCTACTTCCCCTCGCATCAGGGCATCAGGGCGGCTGAGCTGGACCGCCTGGAGACCCGGGAGGAGGGCTCTCCAGCCTGGGAAAGGCTCCCCTTGCTGTGGGGGCGAACTCGGGCTGTTGGGGGAGCAGAGAGGTGGCCGGCACAGGTGGGGGGCAGGGCCGGGGGAGTAGGAGCCCCTGGCTCTGCCCAGAGTCCTGAGAGAGGGTGACCTGGTCAGGGTCTCGGGTCCCCCTGGGAACGGAGAAGTGGACAGGACACCTCGTAGGCTGTCTCCCCACAGCACAGACCAGGGGCCGAGCGTGGTGTCCCCGGAGCAGGCGAGGCACCACTCCCCGATGCTGCCGGCAAACCAGGCGGCCCCCATGTGGACCTGCTCCCCAGGCTTGTCCCGGGGTCCCGCCCCTCCCAGCGTGACCAAGCTCCTGCGGTCCCCACACGGGCTCTCTGTCGCCCCCTGCAGGGGATCAAGAAGCCCTACAACCCGGTCCTGGGGGAGACCTTCCGCTGCAGCTGGCTCCACCCCCACACCAACAGCCTCACCTTCTACCTGGCGGAGCAGGCAAGGGCCGCGGGCAGCACGAGGCTGGGACGGGGGTGGGCGGTGGCCCGGCCGCTAACCCCAGGGCACGACGCCTGGTGGCCCCACCTCTGCCCGCTGGGGGCGCTCCAGGCCTCATTTCCGCCAGCCAGACTCTTCTGGGAGGAGCGGACGGGGACCTGGGACGGCGGGCCACGTCCTCAGGGAGGGGGCTGACTCGGGGTCCCGGTCTGCTCCAGGACGCAGGCCCGCCTCCCGGGGGAGCGTGGCGAGGGCCCCCCCACCCAGTGAAGGAGGGGCGGGGGACGTGAGGTGGGAGGGGACGAGGAAGCCGGGCTCTCAGCGACGTGGGGCCGCCCGCCGCTGGGGCCACCTCTGTGCCCGCAGGTGTCGCACCACCCGCCCGTGTCCGCCTTCCACGTCAGCAACCGGAAAGACGGCTTCTGCATTAGCGGCAGCGTCACGGCCAAGTCCCGGTTCTACGGTGAGGGGCTCCCCCGGGCTCCGCCCCGGACCTGAGGAGTTGGGGGGAGGGCCGGGCTTCCGGATTCCGTGGTCCCCAAGACCTTCACGGGGTGGCAGCTGTGTGTGCCCCTCCCGCCTCTCCTCCCCAGGGACCCTATGGGCGCGGGTGGGACAGTGCTCCAAACCCAGAGTCAGGCAGAGCCCGGGCGTCCTGTCCAGCATCCACACATCCACGCATCCACGCATCCACGTGCAGGGCGCTGGGAGGCCCCGAAAAGGACCCTGCCTGCAGGGCGCTGTCCAGAGCTGAGCTGCCCGCTCGGCACCACCAGCCACTGCGCTCTGTGTTTGAATCGATTAAAGTGAAATAAAACCCTGGGAGCAGTTCCTCCGCCGCCGCCACAGCAAACCACAAGGGCAGAGACCACAAGGGCAGAGGCCACGTGTGGCTGGTGGCTGCCACATCCAAGGGCACAGGACGAGGTTTCTGTCCTCACAGAAAGAAAGTGCCGTCGGGCAGCGCCACCCCAGAGCACCCCAGGCACTGTGGGTGCTCAGAGAGCGTTCGACCCCACTTTTCCATTGGTCATCCCCCCTCCCGTTTCCTTGGTGGGCAGGTTGCCCGCACTTCTGGGTGGCCCCCAGTCTGCGGAGGAGGCTCGGGTTCTGTCACCTTCCCACCCAGTGCTCCTGCCACCGGGGCAGTGACCCAGCCCACAGTCCCCCTCACTGGGTTGGGGGGGGGGGCTTAAATCTCAGCAGGGGCCCAGGGCAGTTAGAAAGGCCGCAGCCTCCCCGCCAACATGTCTGCCTCAGTGACGAACAAGCAGTAGGCGCAGCATCTCTTGAGGGCCCAGGGCCCGAGGGACCAGACGGGGCTTTTCCAGAATCTGAGGCTCAGAGAGGCTGAGTGACCCGCCTACAAGCACACAGCTGGGGTCTCGGCCCACCTGTGGCCGGAAACTCTGAGCCTATGATTTAGGGGTGGGACCCCCGGATGCAAAGGCTGACTTCACTCACTGGCCCCCGCCCGGCCCGTCTCTGCAGGGAACTCACTGTCGGCGCTGCTGGACGGCAAGGCCAGGCTCACCTTCCTGAGGCGGGCGGAGGACTACACCCTCACCATGCCCTACGCGCACTGCAAAGGTGAGAGTCCTCCAGCCACCGCCCCCTGGCAGGCATCTTCCCTCACCCTCACTCCTCGGTGACTTCCCGCCAGCCCAGACCCCCCACCGCTGCCCTCACTCGGGTCTGGGTGCCCTGGAGACCCCCAGTAGCACAGGGCCCCCACCCCGGCTTCTCCACCCTGAGCACAGAGAGGCGTGGCGTCTTTGCCGCCTTTTGCTAACTCGCTTGCTCTCACCTTTCGGGAAAGAGACACCATCAGCGCCCGCTTCTGAGTGACTTAGGCGGGTGGCGTCTCCGTTCTCCAACGAGGCTGAGGCTTGTGTGGCAGGGATGGGAGGCAGGTTCTCTCCTTCACTGAGTCGACTGTACGCGTACTAGTTAAATAATAGTCGTCGGCTGGCTCGTCCTGGGCGCGGCTGGCTGTCAGCAGGGGCCGGGTCTGCCCCTCGGAGCCCATCTGGGGCAGGCCCTATACCGTGAGGTGCAGGTGACACAGCAAAGGATGGGGCGTCCCCTGGATGGAGCCCCGGGCCTGAGCAGCTGTGGCAGAGACCCCATTCCCGGGGGGCAGGGTGTCCCCGAGGAGCCGGGCTCAACCCTGACTCCGTTCCCCCCATGAGTCCCTCGCCTCCCCACGGCTCTACCTACCTGGCCGCTCCCACCCTCTCCCCTCTTCCTTCTTGCCTTCCTTCTTGTGGGGTCACACAGTCCCGAGGACCCCTTTGCTGGATCAGGACACGGCAGGGCCCGAGTGCTGACCCCGATGCCGGCTGTGTTTCAGGAATCCTGTACGGCACCATGACCATGGAGCTGGGTGGCAGCGTGGCCATTGAGTGCCAGAAGAACAACTTCCGAGCTGAGCTGGAGTTCAAGCTCAAGGTAGCGCTGGCCGCAGTACCTCAGCCACTCGGAGGGCCTTGGGGCCATGGGTCCTGAACCGGGGCAGAGTGAGGCCTTGCGGACCGCCCTCCCCTCCTGCGCTTTTTGGACCCAGAGATGGTTTCCTGAGCACGGGCCCCTGGGGGAACAGTTCCTGGCACCCCGGCAGTACAGCTGGGGCTCAGAGATGGGAAGGGGGTGCCTGCACACCATGCACGGAGTCAGGATAGGCCCACCCACCGTGGGGCTGGGAGGCCGGGAGGGACTCCTGCGTCCTGGAGCTCAGGTCCCGTCCCAGCTGGCCTCCCGGCACCGGGTTCAGAGCCTGCACCCCGTGAGGGTGCCCACCACTTGTCCTGCAACATGGGCCTCTGGCAGGGGCCTGCTTCCTCCCCCAGCTCACCAGGGGTGCACGGGGCTGCAGACAGGCCCTCAGGCTCACGGGCGTCCATCTCGGGCGTGTCCCCTCAGCCTTTCTTTGGGGGCAGCACGAGCATAAACCAGATCTCGGGCAGGATCACATCGGGAGAGGAGGTCCTGGCGCATCTCTCCGGACACTGGGTGAGAGGCCGCCCCCGGGACCCTGGGCGCCGGGAGGGCCACAGGCCGGCACCGCTGACTCCACCTGCCCGCCCGTCTGCGGCAGGACAGGGAAGTGTTTATCCAGGAGGAGGGGCGAGGAGGCGCCGAGCTCTTCTGGAGCCCGAGTGGGCAGGTGCGCGAGCGGAGGCTGCGGCGACGCACCGTGCTCCTGGAGGAGCAGGGGGAGCTGGAGTCGGAGAGGTGAGGCCCCCCAGTCCCCCGGCCCTGGGGGTCCCCGTCTGCCACAGCCCATCCTCCACAGGGCTTTGGGGCTGTGAGCAAGTGCCCAGGACTCCCTGGCAGGGTGGGAGGGAGGGTGGAGCTCAAAGGAGACCCCCGTGGCGGCTGAGATGTGCTGTGGGGGCGAGGTCAGCTGGAGGGAGAGGGAGCGAGGCCTGGGGCCTGTCCCTGCCAGCGGGGGACCGGCAGCCTGCAGGAAGGGCCTGCCGACAAGAGGTGTGAGACACCTCGATGTAAGAAAGAACCATCTTGTGTTGAATACACAGCGTCCTGGGAGACACAGGTGCCCTGAGAGGCAGTGAGCTCCCTGTCCCTGGGGGCAACCAAGTAGAGCTTGCTCTAAGCCTCCCCTCTGGTGCTGAGAGGACGTGCCTGCCCAGGTCCCCCAGCTCAGAGCAGGTGCCCGCCCGCCCGCAGGCTCTGGCAGCACGTCACCAGGGCCATTAGGGATGGTGACCAGCACAGGGCCACGCAGGAGAAGTTTTTACTGGAGGAGGCGCAGCGGCAGCGGGCCCACGAGCGCCGGCAGAGCTTCACACCCTGGACACCCCGGCTGTTCCACCTGGACCCCACCACCCAGGAGTGGCGCTACCGATTCGAGAAGTGAGTGCTGGTGGGGGGCGACCCAGGGGCCAGCAGACTGTCCCCAACCCGTCTGGGCCCTGGGCCTGAGGAGCGCATGGAGCGCCCACTCCCCCCAAGGACCAAGGGAGGGGGGTGGCGGTCATATTGGGGCTGCTGTGGCCCGCCCCCCCGTGCGGGCCCTGCACATGGGTGTGGGCAGCGGTCACGCTGGCGGGGCTCTGGCTGGGATGGTGTCCTCTTCCCCCGAGGCTCACTGCCCCCGCCAATGGACATCCTCTGGACCTCCAGCCACAGCCCCTGGGACCCCCTGAGGGATATCACCCAGTTTGAGCAAGACGGGGTGCTGTACACCCTGCAGCGAGAGCGCCTGAGCCCCCAGACCCGCGTGGAGGGCAGCCCGGGGCCTGGGCACCAGGTCAGCACCCCAGGGGCCCTGCGCAGGTCCTCAGCCGTGGTGGGGGGGGACAGTCCGGCCGCAGGTGTGCCTCACTCCCACCGGCGGGGCCTCCTCCCCTGTGTCCCCTGCCGTCACATTCCCACCGCACCCCCCCACAAACAGGGCATCTCATGGCCCCGTGCCTCGTCCCTGGCAGGATGGGAGGGAGGGTGGACCTCAGAGCAGACGCCCGTGGCAGCACGGGGCCCGAGGCTCCTGGACTCCCAGGGGCTTGGTGTGCAGGCTCCGTGCTGCAGATGGGCCCCAGCGCCCCGCTCCCGGAGCCACCCTCCCTGGTGTCGGCACCCGCTCCCCTTGCACCCAACGAGGCAGCCGAGGCTCAGGGGAGCCAGGGGCTGGCCGGTGGCAGCGGAGGGGGCAGCCTTCCCCTCGGACACCGGGCCTCCAAGGGCGGCCAGAAGGGGCTGCGCTCCCTGAGGGAGGCCGGGCTGTGAGTGGGCCCCCGCCCAGCGCCTCGGTTTCTGCACAGGGGCCTGGCCCAGACCGGCGGCTTCGCAAGGCCAGCGACCAGCCCTCCGGCCACAGCCAGGCCACCGAGAGCAGTGGCTCCACGCCCGAGTCCTGCCCAGAGCTCTCGGATGAGGACGGTGACGGAGACTTTGTCCCCGGTGAGTGCTCCCGAGCAGGCCGTCCTGCGGGTGGGAAGGCCAGGGAGGTGCCCTCCCCAGGCGGCCCGGTCCCGGGAGGAAGCTCCACTCTGGCCTGGCTGTCCTCCCAGGGGTCCTCCTGGGCTCAAAGGGGAGGACGCCTCCCTTGCCTGGTGGGAATGTGGCTGCACAGTGTCCCTTTGTCTGTGACCCTCTGGTCCCACCCCACCTCTCCTTCCGTTACCCTCACAGGCCCGAATGCCTGTATCTCCCAACTTGGTCCCCACCCCTGCGGCAATGGGCCACACTTGGCCACTCCTGTCTCCCAGTGCTCAGTAGGGGCCAGCTGAGCCTGGGCGCCCTCCCGAGACGGCCCTCGGGGCCTCTCCCTGTCTCTCGGCACCATTAGCTTTGCCCTAAAGGCTCCCATGGGGCGGGGCTCCAGCTGGGCACAGCCCGGGACCCCCCCACACTGGCTCCCCAACATCCCAGCTCCTCCTCTTCTCCCCTCCCCTCCCGTGTCCCCTTGTCCCCGGCCCTGCAACTGGCGGCCTGTCCTCCCAGGCAGCGAGAGCCCGTGCCGGCGGTGCGGGAAGGAGGCCCGGCGGCTGCAGGCCCTGCACGAGGCCACCCTGGCCCTCCGGGAGGCGCAGCAGGAGCTGCACAGGTAGCCCCTGGGAGGCGGCGGTGGGGGCAGGGAAGGCGGCCGGCAGGGCGTCCCGGGGGAGCAGCTGAGCCAGGTGCAGGAGGACAGCGAGCTGGGCAGAGCAAGGACACCCGAGGAGGAGGAGGAGGATGCGGAGGAAGCTGCAGGCTGGGAGGGGCCCCCGGTGAATCAGCGTGGCCCCAACCACAGGATAACCATGGCAACGTGTAGCCAGGTGGGAGCGGAGCCAGCACTGCCCCTGGGCGTCTCAGGGTTCACTGCTGTGTTCCCAGCAGCCCCCACGGCAGACACTCAGGTGGGAGGGGTGAGCAAGGCCTGCTCAGTGACCATGGTAGGTAAGGGCCACCCTGGCCACATGAGCCCTTCTGTGAGCAGACTCCCCGGAGTGAGGGCACAGCCACAGCTCCCAGCTCCGCCCCAAGGCCCGGCTCCCGGCTCAGTCCTGACTCACTGGCTGTGGGACCTTGGGCTGCCCATGCCTCGGTTTCCCCCTGCAGCCCTGGGCTGGAATGAAGATGGTGCAGGGGGCCGGACTCTGCCCGGTACCCAGCTCCTGGCTGCCCCGGGAACCCAGTGGCACGCCTCGAAGCCCAGCCCTCCACCGGAGCTCTCCCGCGCCGCGCCCACAGGGGCCTGGCCTCATCGCAGTTCAGCCTGCTCCTCGGGCGGCTGTGGGAGGCGCCGAGAGAAGGCAGGCTGGCACCTTGGAAGAATGCCACCTGTGTGGTCAGGGAGGGCTTCCTGGAGGAAGATGTGGGTGGCCGGGGAAGAGCTGAAAGAGGGAGAGCAGAAGTCACTATTGAGAGTGACGGGACCACAGGAGGGCCCGGCTGGGACCAGGGAGAACCCACAAGTCGAGCAGGGTGTGAGTGCCCTGGGGCTGCAAAGTCTCACAGACGTGCGGCCTAAACCACAGACACTCACAGTCCCCGTCCTGGAAGCGGAAGTCTAAGAACCAGGTGTCACAGGGCTGGTTCCCCCCGAGGCCTCTGTCCTGGGCGTGTAGACGGCCGTCCTCCCCTTGCGTCCCCACGTGGTCGTCCCTCTGTGCCCATCTGTGTCCTGTTCTCGTGAGGACACCAGTCACATAGCATTAGGACCCACCCTAGTGACCTCATGTTCCCTTTGTCACCTCTTTAAGAGCTCTTTCTCCAAATACCGTCACATTCTGAGGTCCTGGGGGTCAGGGCTCCCACTTGTGACTTTGGTGGGTGGCAAGAGGTGGGACACAAGTCACCAGCAGAGCAGGTGGGGGGGACACTCTGCTCCCCTAGCCCTGACCTTGCTCCCTGGAATGGGTGCCCAAGAGCCCAGGGCCACCTCTGTGCCCTGGGTGCCCTCCCCCAATCGCACCCCCAGCACCCCCGTCCCTGGAGGGTGGGACGTGCTCCCTGTCCCGGCCGGCCCGGCTGAGCCGCTGCGCCCTCTCCCTGCAGGCAGCTCTCGGCCCTGCTGAGCTCCACCGCCAGGGCCCGGCGGGCAGCGGCCGCAGGCCCCCTGCAGAGCCCCCGCGCCTGGTGTCTGCTGTGCGTGCTCCTGGCCTGCCAGCTGCTCCTGAACCTCGTCCTCACGTGAGCGTCCTTCGGGCCGTGTGGCCGCCGCCCGAGGAACTCGGCCGCTGCTGCCCTCCCTCCCCGGCATCCAGCACTTTAAACCAGCCCGGGGAGGCGGAGGGACGCTGTGAGCTCGGCCCCTGTGGACAGAGGGGCCCCAGCGGCGGGAGGACAGCAGGAGGGACCTGGGGCCGCCCGGCTCCTCTTGGGGAGGCGCCGGCCTCTGTGGAGGGCCCTCATCCAGCACTGGCCTTAATGCTCAAGCCAAATGCCACTTTGTCATGCAACGCACACCCTGGTCATCTGGCCTCGCTCTCCCGGTCCAGCGCCCACCTGCCACGTGGGGTCGGCGCAGGCCGGGCGTGGGAGGGTCCGCCAGCGTTGGACATTGGGTCCCCAGGGCCACCCTGGTCCTGACCCACAGGCTGTCCCTCCTGAGACTTTGCCCCTGTCACCCTGGTGTGGCCTCGGGCGAGACGCTGGGACGGCCCAGGCGGGGCCCCTGGAGTCACTCTGCCACTGTGCTGTTTGGAAGGAGCCTGGTCAGAAGTGAGGGACCTGCTGCAGCCCCGCAGCCCAGCCCCGCGGTGGGTGGGGGCACCTGTGATCGCAGCTCCGAGGGCCGCCCGGCAGTACCAGCCGTGAGTGGAGCACGGCTGCCCTGCGCCTGCCTGGGAACGCTTCCCCTGGGCCCAGCGGGGCCCTGCTCTCCCCGCACTTGCTGGATAAACGCCACAGCAATACCGTCAGCGGGCAGTGTCTGCCCTCCGCTCCGTGTCCAGTTCCACCTGTGTGGGTGTGCACATGTGTGAGCGCCCGTACGTGTAGGTGCACACGGAGCCTGAACTCAGCAGTGGCCGTGCCCTGGGGGCTGATGCCCCATTTTCTGGTTTTGTGCCCATGTCCTGCCCTGTCCCGCCACCCCCCCCCCCCCGCAGTGTGGGGACAGGTCTGTGCTCTGTTCCCTGAAATAAAGGAACACACCCACTGGCTGTCGTCTTCTTGGAGGAGTTCTGGAAAGGAGGGGCGTGTTCCTGGGCACAGACTCCGTACCAGCAGGGGGCTGTCTGGGGTTGGAGGGCCCAGGGCAGGGGTCCAAGGTCATGAGGATGGCGGGGCCTGTTCCCTTGCCGGCCTTGAAGGGACGCGGGCAGAGACCCGGTGCCTGGGAGCCACACTGGGACCCTGAGGGTGGAAGTCTGGACTTGCTCCCCTCCTCCAGTCTGTGGCAGCGACCGGTGAACCTCCGGGGCTGCTGAGGCCGGGGGGCTGCTGCTGCGGGAGCGACCCGGAAGCTCAGCCGGTCGCCCCGGTCGCCCCGCTGCCGCCCGGGCCTGTTAGGAAGAGGCTGTTGGGGAAACCGTGTCGGTGGAGAGGCCGGGCCCCGCGCCCCAGATGCGGGGCGCGGCCTCACTCTGCCTGCTGCCGCTTCCGAACCGCGCGTCTCCCGCGGTCAGAGCACCAGGTCCGGGGCAGCTGGGCGCCCGCAGGCCCGCCGGCCCGACCCTGCGGTCCGCCCTCCTGCCCCTTCGTTGTCGCCGCCGCCGCTCCGCGGGCGCAGAGGCGCGCGGCGCGGACTCCGGGTAGGGAAGACCCGAGCCCGGGAGGGGGCCGAGCGCGGGTGGCGCACGGTCTCCGGACCCGTGGGGGCAGGGACGGGGCCCCGCCCGCAGAGGCTGAGCGCTGCGGTCCCCGGACCTTGAAACGCGATTTGAACGGAAACAGGGTCCTCAGTGTGTACCAGCGTCAGGCTGACAAGGTCTGGAACTTTAAACGAAGCTATTGAACGCGCATATTGGCTCCGCAGTGGTAACTCGGTGGGTCCGTGATACGCGGTTTGCGGAGAATCCCGTCCGGACGCGGAGGACTGTGGGCACTGGCCTCCGATTTCCTTTGCCGCCGAACGATGTTAATTTAATTTTAGTTTGAACATTTCATCTTACGGAGGATGAAATGACTTCCCCTCGAAACGAAAATCCTTTGCAGCGCTAGAAAGAGGATTTGTCTTTATTTGATACAGATTTTATGTGCATTTTAGAGAGGGGGGAGGCGGGAGAAAGAGAGGGAGAGACGTCCGGCGGGCAGCCGTCTGGGTCCCGGCCGCGTTTCGGAGTGAATTACCGGTCTCGCTCTTTACTTCCTTTTCTCCGCCCGGGCCTTGTAAAACCGTAAGGGATTTCCTTTCTAGCTCGGCGCGCAGCCGGGTCCAGCGGGAAGCTGTGCCGGACGTGATGGTGTCACACGCCGCGGCGCGCTGCCCAACGGGGCGGCCGGGGAGGGGGCGGGCCTGTACGAACCAGGACAGTTCCTCCCGCAACCCACAGACCCGGGTTCAGAAGCAGCGCGATTTTTCCAGGCGCTACACCCAGGTCCCTGGAGCCGCGCAGCCGGGAGGGAGACACATGGCCTTGCCGTCTGCTCCCTTATCGCTGTCGCTGCTGCTGCTGCCGCTGCCGCTGCCGCCGCTGCTCGCGAAGCAGGTGGGCGTGGAGGGGGCTCCGGGGAGGGCGGACCTGACAGCGCCGTCCCGGGCCTCCCCGGCCAAATCCACGTCTGGGACGCAGCGTGAGCTCCGGAGCCCGGAGGGAGGCAGGCAGTGTTCGCCGCCCCCCGCCCCCACCCAGCACCCGAGCGCCGGTCCCAGCGGTTCTGGGTGGGAATCCTCGCAGCGAAGGGTGCTGTCTCCTCTCCTTTCCTCCCCACTCCTGTCCCATCGCCTCTCCAATCTCCTCTCCCCTCCCCTCTCCCCTCTCCACTCCCCTCTTCCTCACCCTCTGTCCTCCCCCTCCCCTCCCCTCCCCTCCCCTCCCCTCCCCTCCCCTCCCCTCCCCTCTCCTTCTCTAACTCCTTCCCTTCTCTAACTCCTTCCCTTCTCTAACTCCTCTGCTCTCTTCTCCCTTCTCCTCCCTTCTCTCTTCACTTATCTCTTCTCCTCTCCCCCCTCCCCCTCCCCACTCGCCCTCCCCCTGGCAAACCCGCGGGGTGCGGAGAAGCTCAGGGTGTAAATAGGGGAAAGAAACTAACAGGGGATTTGAGAGGAGACGGTAAGTGAGACGTGCAGGCGGAAGCGGGAGGGAAGGTCAGGAGGCTTCTGTACATGCAGGAGCCCTCGGTCCCCAAGATGTGTCCTTGCTGCGGTTGGTGTCACTGTCACTACCTCCTCTCGCCCCGGAAACCTGGGCATTGTCACCCGTCCCAGCCCAGGGGACGGGAGGGGGAGGAGGCCCCTTTCCTGACCGCACGTGTGGGGTCAGTGAGCTCACGGCCTCCGATGCCCGGGCGGGGGCCCAGAGGTGGATCCTCCGAGGGCCGGGGCGTGTGCGGGGAGGGGCCCCAGCTCTGCAGGGAGGGGGTCTGCAAAGGAGACCTGGCCCCAGCCGGGGGTGGGGGGGGGGCAGCTCCTGCCTCTTGAAGGGGACTCAGGGATTCACTGAGCGGACCAGTGGGCGGAGCTGAGGGAACCCCCCTCCGCTGCACGGGGGGGGGGCGGCGCACAGGACGGGTGGGGCAGTCTGGGAACATTCCCTGTTCTGTTCCAGCAGACGGGGACCGCCCCCGCCCACCGGACTTTCCAGCGGAGCCCGGTGCGCCCCGGCCCCACCGACAGCAGCGGGCCCCACGAGTACTGGTCCCCAGGCCACTGCTGCCTGCTCTGCCCCGCGGGTGAGTCCGGGACGGGTCTGCCTGGAGGGACCGCAGAGTCCAGGTGTGTCGGGCCGTGGGGAGGGGCCCTCTTCTGACAGTGAGGGGGGAGGCGGGTTAGCAGCACCCATGAGGTGGGACGTGGCCCCAGGGGACACCTTCTAGAAGGAAGCCCCGTCTGCCCTCAGCGAGGGTGGCAGGAACCTGCTGGCCCAGTGAGGTGCTCCTGGGTCCTGAAGGGCACACCCCTGTGGGTGGGAACTGGGCGGAGCTCCTCCCAGAGGCTGAGCCTGGGCCCTGGCTGGGAGGCAGAGCGCTGGGACCTGCTCCTGCTGACAAGAGGCGTGACCTCTGGGTCCTCCTTGTCTGCCACTTGGGGGCCAGGGTCCCTGTGCAGCCCACAGCACAGCTGCCAGAGGGTCGGGTGCAGGGCAGGGACAGGAGTCCGAGGTGGGATCCTGGGAGGTCTGTGCTTCCTCATGTCCAAGAAGGAGTGACGTCCAGAGGTCACCTTGATCCGAAACTGCAGACAGAAGTGTTTCCCTGTTCCCACTGGCGGGGCTGCCCCCAGGACGGGGTGGGCAGGCCGCACAGCAGGGACGCCCCTCGAGCCTGGAGGGGTCTGACCGCAGCGCCCACCTCCTGCACAGGGGAGCATGTCCGTGAACCCTGCAGCCGCCCCCACACCCGGGGACAGTGCGACAAGTGTGACCCAGGCACGTTCACGGCGTTCCCCAACGGCCTGGGGTCCTGCCTGCTGTGTGGCACCTGCTCCCAGGGTGAGTCTCCCCTGGGCACCTTGCCTGACCTTGACCTGCCAGCTTCTGACCCTGCCGTGGCCGGACCTTCACGTCGGGCCTCGGGACTTAGCCACAGGGACACTCACGGTGCAGCCCAGAAACGTGAGGGGAAGGCGGGGCCTTTGGGTGAAGGAGGGACGTCCCCGTCCCGCAGTGCAGAGCTCACAGCCCCGCAGAGACGCGGCTGGAGATGTCCGTCAGCTCCCACGTCGGTCCCCACGTAGTGTGACAGCAGGAAAGTGACAGGACCCAGAGAGCCACTCCGGTTGAGCCCCGTGTCTATTCTCAGTCATCGTGTTCACACGGGAAGGTGCTCAGTCCGATGTGGGAAACTGGGAAATCCCACGCACACGCACACGGAGAGGCAGCAGGGTCAGCGTCACCCCTCAGGGAGTCAGGGATGATGTACTGCGTGTCACCAGCCCCTTCCACCCTGGTGGCACGGGACAGGGTAGAACTCAGGGCTCTTACTGATGACTATTCAGCTGGTGGTGTTTGATCACGTGTGAGTGTGCGTGTGTGCAAGAGTGGTTCAGCACATGTGTGCACATGTGCATTTGTGTGCATAAGTGTTTCTGTGTGTGCTAGGAGGTGAGAACCACTTCCCTGTCACCTGCAGATGTCACTGTGTTTCACCCCAACTCGCCACCTCCCACACTTCCTGCACGCACCAGGGGTGCATCACCCACCCAGGGGAACCAGCAGTGATCCCCAACACCAGTCCACACTCAGACGGACCGTCACCCCGTTTTCCTTTGAAAAGTCCCCTGGGTTCACCTGCAGAGAGCGCAGTGGAGACTGTCCCCACCCGGCCCCGCTGCCCTGACACCCCGGGTGTGGCAGAGGCCGGATTCTTCCCTCGCTCAGAGTCAGACGACGGTGCCCTCCCCTCCGGGGTCCACTGCATGTGACCCCTGAAACCTCAGTGTTCCTGTGGGCCCGGATTCTGTACACACACGTTACAAGTGGCCAACCCCCACAGGAAAAGGCACTTATTTTTTTTCAACCACAAAGGTGGACACTCGGTATTGGTGAAGACACAGGCAAGCTAGGTTTTTTAAAAAGAAACTCCCTGGTGGAGGCATTTTGAGACTGTGGTTCAAACTGTGTTCGTGTGACCCTGTTCCTGCACCAGAGCCCCCATCTGGGCATTGGCCCTGGGGACACAGGTGTGGGACCAGGTGGCAGAGACATCCCCCGCAGGGTTACACGAACCCTCGGACTGGCCCAGGTCCCCCCCGTGGTGGGCTGAGCTCCGACCCGGGCCATAGGGTCTCCAGCCCAAACCCCATGCAGGCGCCCCTGTGCACGAGGACAGGGCGGGTCCCCCAGGACTGACGCAGGCTTTCCTGAACTGCAGACCAAGACGAGGCGGCCGAGTGCACTGCCACCAGCAACACCAGGTGCCAGTGCCGACCAGGCCGTTTCTACAAAGCCCCTGGCGACGAGGAATTCTGCACGAGGTGTAGCACGTAGGTGACTGGGCGTGGGTGCCGTGGGCGGGGTCACGGGGCTGTGGGGCTCCCCCTCAGCCTCGTGTTCCTTATATTCCTGGTGCTTGTGTCCCTCCCTGGTCCCCAGCTGAGGCCCCAGCTCAAGTCTGTGCCCAGCAGCCCAGGCAGGGCCTCCCCTCCCCCCCTCCTGGGCTCTACCCACTGCTTCCCCGATCTGGGTCTCTCCTTTGCTTTGCTGGAGGGTGCTGACCTCCCCTCCTGGGAACAGGTGCCTTCAGGTCATTGGGTCTTTCAGAAACATTTCTTCTGTCCTCTCGACTGCTGGCCGTCTGTGTGCAGAGTCCTTGGTCAGCCAAGGTCACCCAGGTGGCTGACCACGTGCCCGACACCTCACCCCAGGGGAACGATGGTGTCTGGGGGACCAGGACTTGCATGTCCGGCCTCTCCAGGGCTGCATTGGGTCCAAAGAAATCAAAGACACAGGCTGGACGGGCTATCGGTTCCTATACGCTGTTGAACCTGAAAGAGTCTCTACCATTTTTCCCTTTGAGATCTGGAGTCTGGGGTCTGAGAATAAGCTCCCAAGCTCCCCAGAAGGAAGGTGGGGACCTGGGGGTGGAGGAAGCACAGGGCCGGTGACTGAGAGGCCTGGACAGGCTGTGCAGTGCGGGGCGGGGTGGGTGGCGCCGGGAGCACCCACACGGGGTCCTCAGTGAGTGAGTTGCTCCCCCCGGGCCTGGGCGAACCTGCCCGGGATGTCAGAACGCGCTGCACTGACGGTGCGCCCTCAGCTGGCAACAGGGAGGAGGGAGCAGCTGTGTCCCCAGCCTTTGTTAAAGCAGGACGGACCCTCCCCTCCAGCTCCCAGGCCCACACACACGGCCTTGGACGTCCATCAGGCGGGGAAACAGGTCACCTGTCCTCCTGGTGGGACCAGGGCTGGTTCTGGGGTGAGGCTGGGGCTTCCTGTGACCCCCAGGGCCCCTCGTGGGGTCTGTGATCACAGCACACGGTGCTCCCCAAAGTGGGCTGGGGAGCGCCCCACGGAGACACCTTCTGTTGGTGACAGTGTGGACCCGGGAGCCTGGGGCTGGGAGACGTGGAAGCAGGAACAGTGAAGCTGTGTCCCCCTCACCCCCCAGGTGTCCCTGAGGGGACAGTGGTCCTGCAGCAGTGCAACTCCACGGCGGACACGGTGTGCGGCCCGCCCGGTCCAGGTGAGAGGGGGGTCGCTGTTGCTAAGGGGGTCTGCCTGAGGAGAGGAGACCCCGTGACCCGGGGGAGCCGTCTGACGGGGGGGGGAGGGGGCAGTGCCGTTCCCGCTCCTTCCCATCAGCCCTGGGACCAGCAGCGCGCCCCTCCCCCTCGGGCCCCAGCAACCCTGAGTTACTTTCTGGGACTGACCCCTGTTCAGGACGGGTCACAGACACAGAATCCAGTGACATGTGGCCTGTGTGCCCGGGTTCTCTCGTTCAGGCTGGTGTCTCCCAGCCCCTGGGTCTCAGTGGGACCTTCCAGGGCGTCACCTCTCTGTGTGGCCGAGGGACACTTGGATGTAGGTGCAGACAGACTCGTGTGGTGGTGTTCACTCTCCTGCTCAGGGACTCGGGGACACTTTTAAACAAATAGACCCTGAGCCCTGACTGCTCTATGACAAGGACAGCTTTTCAGTCAGTGGTGTTGGGGACCCTGGACGTCTCCAGGCCCAGGAGGACTTGGGCTCTCATGTCACAGCAGACGCAGAAACTAACTCACAACGACCCAAAGACCCACCTGCAGGGTCTGAAGATGACAGAACCCCTGGAGGGTCAGAGGGGACGTCTCACGACGTTGGGTGGTGTTTGGGGCCCACGTGACATGGGGTTACCTGGGGGGTGTCTCTGTCTCAGTGCCTCATGGAGCCCTGATGCCCTAGTGTGTCCACAGTCCTCCGATGGCAGGGGTCCTCCTTCCTGTGGTGACGGGTTCCAGTGGGTGTGTGTGCGTGTGTCTGTGTGCAAACGTGGGGGCTCTGTGCACCTCACTGAGGGGGTTCCGTGTCTCCCCCTCGTGAGCGGTGCTGCTGTGGACACAGGATGCAGGTGCCCCGACCGAGGGCTTTCACCTACTTGACAAATGTACGTGGGGTTGGTCTGTGGGGACTCTGTCCCGCGGCTGCTGGAAACCAGGTCGGCTTTGACCTGAGGGAGACGCTTTCTGTTTTTCCCGTTGTCAGAGGGCAGACGCCGGCTCTGGTTGGTCGGGAGCTTTATGATCTTGTCCGCGGTTCTTCTGGGCATCACCATCAGCACTGCCTGCACGAAGAAGCCAAAAGACGGAGGATTCCAGCCCGTGTGCAGCAGGCCCTCCAGCAGCGCGTGCTCAGAGTTGGAGTCCCTGGAGGAGAGTGAGTGACAGCCCGGGCTGGGGGCGGGGGGGCGGGTCCAGGCTCTGTGTGAAGACAGGGCCGGGCCTTTACTGGGTCTACCCGGTTCTCCTCGCTGAGGCTCAGCCCCCCACAGGGTGACCAGAAGGGAGAACAGCCTGGAAGCCATCTCGGTGCCATCCCTGCTGCACCCCGGCCTTTGGGGCTGCGGGCCTGGTAGATTTGGGTTCCTAAGGCGTCATTAATCACCATCAGCTCCGTCTCCAAGGCCCCCCTGGCCTGGCACAGGGGTGTCTGGCAGGGCCATGGGGAAGATTCGGGGGGCTGCTGTGCTAGAAGGTGCTGGCTGTTCTGGGTGCAGAGAGACATAGTGTTGTTGGAAGGTTCCAGAAGTTGTGGAACTGGAAAACCGGGGAGGGGGATGGAGGACACCCGGCCCCCTCCTGCAGCTTCCTGGTGGGGTCCTTGGCCTGGGGAGGGGTCCGTCACCTCCCAAGCCATCCCGTCACAGAGAGGACCCTCCTGGCAGCCTCCCGTGACCACACTCCTCTGTCTGTGCCCACAGGACCCCGGGATGGAGGAGAAAGCCTGGTGAGTGCCCCCTGGGGCGGGGGCAGCTCTGGTCCCCCCCCAAGAACTGCTCAGGCCCTGACCCGGCCTCCTGTCCAGGGCCGGCCAGCCCCACCTGGGGAGGAGGCCGCACCCCTCCAGGGGCCCCTCTCTGCCCGACTGTCGACCGAACAGGAGCCCAGGGCCCAGAGCTGGGGGAGGCTCAGACCTGGTGGGGTCCTGTTCACAGTGGGGAAACTGAGGCCCCCACAGTCCTCTCGGGGCCTGGACCGAGGCCAGGGGAGCCAGCAGTGAGCGCAGAGCTGAGACCAGAGCTGGCCCCCTGAGCCTGGGGTCCTGGGCCCCTGCGCTGAGCCCCCCGAGGGCCCCTGCTTGTGTTTTCAGGGCCCTGAGAGCCCAGTGTGCTGCGGGCCATCGCATGGGACCCGAGAGGCAGACCCTCCGGGCCCCACGACAGGAGACCACAGCCGGTCTGCAGGCAGCTTGGACTTGGCAAGGTCAGAGGCCCCGCCACCCCCCAGCCTCCCAGAGAGCCCGGCGGGTGGGGGGGCCCGCAGGCTGCAGCAGGTGGAGAGCCTGGGCCCTGCCCTGCCCACCGCCACCTGACCCTGCATTAGCAGGCTCGCTGAGGAAACGTCACGACCTGGCGCAGGTGGGGTGTTTGTGCATGAGTCTGAAAAAGAACAGCAGTGGCCACGCTGTCCTTCCAGCCACACTGTCCAGGCCTCTTTCACTGTGCTTTTAGTCGTCAATGCAACCCCCTGCGGGGGGGCGGCACCCCAGGGTCAGGTGGGGACCCTGCACAGGGGGAGGCCACCTGCGCCGGCCCTGCCCACCCCTGGGGAGCAGCAGCGCCCAGCCTGGAGCCAGGTGGCACCTGACCTTCTGCCACAGCAGGGCACGTGTCATCCATGGCGTCCTCCTGGAGCGTCCCCTGTGGGGGTGGGGGGACGAGGGAGGGCAGCCGGCTTCCTGAGGCCACTGGGAAGAACGGCTGTAGCCGTGTGTTCTCTCACAGCCCGGAGCCCAGGACGCCGAGATGACGGTGCCAGAGGCTCAGGGACCATCCTGCCACCGGCCTCCGCGGCGAGGTCGCGGTCGTGTGAGCTTAGAGCCCCAGCTACTGCAAAGTGACCTCAGCTCCCGCAGATGACACCTGCAAAGGCCCCAATTCCAAATACAGCCACAGTCGGAGGTTTCCGTGGACGTGGGTTTGAGGGGCACTCTTCAGCCCAGTGCAGGGGTCTGTGGACCCTGCTGAAAGAAGAAACACAGCTACCAGGAAAGCCTCCTGGGGGTTCACTGGGCTTCAATAAACATTTAAATTATTTTTTTAAAAGATTTTATTTATTTTTAGAGGTTATGGGAGAGAGAAAGAGAGAGAGAAACATCAATGTGTAGTTTCCTCTCACACGCCCGCTGCTGGGGACCTGGCCCACTACCCAGGCGAGTGCCCTGACTGAGAATCAAACCGGTGACCCTTTGGTTCGCTGGCTGGCGCTCACCCCACTGCGCCACACCAGCCAGGGAAAATTTAATTTAATTTAAATTTTAAAAGCCTCTGCAGCTGCTTATCAAAACACAGGGCCCACCAGCAACTCGGAAGGGAGCTCCAGACGGCAGAGATGGTTAAAATCCCAGGACACATTGCGAACAACTGTGTGCCCATGAACTTGGAAACCAAGTGAAATGGACACGTTTTATGGAAATGTAGACTGGCGTGGAAACGGTTTACAGAGCCCCAGCCGGTGTGGCTCAGCTCGTTGGGCATCATTCCATGAAGGGAAGGGTCGGCAGCTTGACTGCCGGTCAGGGCAGGGTTCGATCTCGGGTCAGGGTGCCCAGTAGAGGCAACCGATGGATGTTTCTCTCCTTGTCTTTCTCCCTCCCTTCCCCTGTCTCTAGATGGATACAAATCAAATCTCTTTTGAAAGCAGGATGGGGAGAACGCATTGGGGCCGACCGCTCGGTGGGGACCTTGTCAAGGCCGTGCTCCAGGCTCCAGGTGCTCGGCTTGGAAGGCGGAAGGAAGAGCAGCCCGTCAGGCTGGCACACGGGTGGGCTGAGGGACTGGTCCTGGCCGGTGCAGCAGTCACGTTTCATTGCTAGGAAAGAGCAAAGGGAAACGTGGGGAGAGCCAACTGATGCCAGAGATGCAGAAGAAATTGCCACTCTGATATATGAAAAATGGGAAAATCTCCAAAAACATGGAAAGGGAACCTTTGCTGGTGTGGCTCAGTGGATTGAGCGCCAGGCTGCGAACCAAAGGGTCACTGGTTCGGTTACCAGTCAGGGCACGTGCCTGGGTCGCGGGCCAGGCCCTGAGTGAAGGGTACTCAAGAGGCAACCACACATTGATGTTTCTCTCCCTCTCTTCCTTTCCCTCTCTAAAATAAATAAGTAAAACTTAAAAAAAAAAAAAAACAGGGAAAGAGAAATAAGGATGAACCTTAACAGCATTAAAGATAAAAAATTGGAAAGCAATTCTGTCCTACAAGTGACATCAGGTCTTGTTTAGATTGTTATTACACACTTTTTGTTTTTTAAAGATTTTATTTCTAGAGAGAGGGGAGGGAGAAAGAAAGGGAAACATCAATATTCCACCCGGGCATGTGCCCTGACCAGGAATCAAACCATTGGAGTTTTGGTTTGCAGGTGACCCCGATGGGGCGGAGAAACATTGATCCATCAGTTGCCTTTCACACACCACCAACCAGGGACCTGGCCCACAACCCAGGCACATGCCCTGCCTGGGAATCAAACCCGCAGCCTTTTAGTTTGCAGGCCAGCACTCAATCCACTGAGCCACACCAGCTGGGGCAGTTACTACATTCTTGAAGGGAATAAATGAGCACTCTATTGGGGGGGAACTGATGAGGTCACAGAGGACTAGGGTGTCACTAGTCCAATGTGGCTGGTGTTCTTAGGACCAGGGGACATTCAGGCATGGACAGGGAGCTGAAGTGAGACGTGGGGTTGTGACAGGGTGCAGCCAAGGGGGAGACCCCAAATCGGGATTTGGAATGGGGTCCAGAACTCAAGGTGTCCAGGAAATACTAGGATGTCCTCGCCACCCCTCACAGGTGTGGGTTGGGGGAAGGGACACAGGGAGCAGGACCTTTGAGAGCTGTTTTGCATAGCAACAGCTTTGCAGCTGACCTCTGGTGTGGGTGGTCATTTAACATATCTATAACCTTTCACTGGTTGCATAGATATGTTAAATAGCTGTGGCCATGCTCTGAGCCAGGGGGATGGAAGTATAACTTCCCCACCAAGATGTAACTGGGGGGCAGGTCCCTGGAGTCACAGCACCTGCGTGGGAGCTTGGAGCAGACTGGCTCCATGACATGGGGCCACGCCTGCCCAGACCCACGATGGCAGCCCAGTACAGCTGGGAGGATCTGGGAGTGCTGGCAGGTGTAGCCGATTGTGGGAGGAGTCGGAAATGGGGCTGCAGAGGAAGATTGGCGCGGGGATTTAAACCCAGACGCTGCGGCCACTGAAGAGGGAGGATCATGCGGCTTTGCCAGAGTAGGGACCTCCGCAGCTTTGGAAGGGGGAACCACCACCCGGCTTTAGCAGAGATCCCGGTGACACAGCTGATGGTGCCGGGAACCGAGGGAGGCCTGCCAGCCAGGACGGATCACTGGGAAGAACTGGGGGCTGCCTGAGCCACGGACTTCTATTTCTTTTCCTGAGACACGGTACCCCAGACTGGGCAGAGGGGGGAAGGAAGAAAGGACTGTGTGTGTTTGTGGGTGTTTTAAGGGACTTTGGGATTTTGATGAAGACATTAGGTCACTACTTAAAGTTTGTGTAGCATTCAATAAACATTTCCTTTTCATGAATCTCTGGCATTGAGAGACGTGTTTCTTCTTGCGGCGGACATAACGGACCTGGGGGGGGGTTCCTTTCAGATAATAGTGTATCGGCCTCTCTTGGCCACCCTCGTTGTTCTTTAACAGTTTTTGGTGACCACGAAGGGACGATAACTGTCCGTGGCAGACCAACCCCCTCGGGTGCAGGAGACTGAGACTTCGGGGTTGTCCCCGACTCGAGAATTTCTCTGCGCTCCTCCTGAGGGCACCGGCCGCCCAGCACGCCCAGGAAGGTGGAAAGGAAATGAAACCGGGAGGGAGCAGAAACGTGAAAATGGTTTGGTTGGAAAGTGGTTTCTGAACACCGTTTTGGGACAACAGAGTTGTGGTTAGTGGTTTGGTTAGCGTGCTGCTTCCCAGGTTGCCCCTGTCTGCTCACTCACAGTTTCGGGGAGCCCAGGGGGCACCAAGGGAACCTGCACTCGGGTTTGGGGAGGAAGCAAACCCCTGAGCTCTGTGAGCGGAGCCTGCATGTATGGTGGGGATCGGACAGCAAATCACATGAGTGCCCCACCATGGAGGACAGGGCATAGCTGGGCATCACCATTTTGGACAACCCAGCCTGCATGGGCGCCGCCATCTTGGATGACTCAGTGTGCATGGGTGCCGCCATCTTGGATGACTCAGCGAGCATGGGTGCTGCCATCTTGGAACTGGGCAAGGTGGCAGCTAAGGGTTCTCTTCAGATCCTGGGCTGTGTGCTGCTGCTGTGTGGGCACTGCACCAGTCAGGTTCTCTGTGCAACTGGTTCTGATGGGGATGGCTCTGGTTCCGAAGGTCATGAACTGAGGTCCAAAGGTGACCATCTGATGTATAGGTTGTTTGCAAGGTCTGAGCTTCAGAAAGCTGCAAGATGTCCCTGCAAATCTAGGGGACTTTTCAGTGGAAAGGTACCTGTCAGTGTTAGGGACTTTTAGCTGCCACATGCTGACTTTCAGTATAGTCCTTCCCAGTGTGGAAGAGGAACCAGGATTAAAAGAGATTGGTTAAATCGGAATGAGTAAAATTATGTGTAAAGGATGTGAAAGTTTTAAAGCTGGAGTAAAGGAAACGTCAACTACTTGTTTTCTGGTTTCATGGGAAAGGAGTAAATTTCTAACATTGGTTTTGTTTCTGATCAGAAACCTGTATTTGAGGACATGTTTAAGGTCATTGTAAGACCTAGGAAAGGTCGCTGTAACTGGTTAGGGAGCATGCCTCTGCCACTCAGGACCCAGGGAGGGTCATTTGGGGCTGGCGAGTGCTTCAGCCAGAGGCACAGGGGCAGGTCTCTGCCAAGACACCGGGCCTGAAGGAGCACGTCTCTGCGAGGCACCAATGGACGCACTGGGGCAAGAGAATGCCTTTACCTGTGTGTTGTTCTGGAACTCTGTGTTTTGGATTTTGCTCTGTATCTGCTCTGAAGAGACAATTGAGGATTCCAGGGAAGGTTGAAACTTCACATTCTGTAGGAAAGTTTTGAGAAGCCTGGTGGATATCAGAAGGAAAAGGATTTTCCTTCACGCTTTGTATTTTTCTCCCTACCTGATCCCTCCAGAATTTGGCATTCTGAAGGAGTGAGTGATGACATAAGGTTTCTTTGCATAAAACCAATAAGACAAGTTGCTAATAGTGGTTTTGATAACTGAGATTTTGATTGGAATGTCATGCCTGAAGGAGGCATGTATGGGTTCTGGTCGTTACCAGAAAGTCCTGGGGACCTGGGATTGACTTGCAAAGCTAGCATAAGCCCACGAGAAAAGCCTGGTACTTTGGTTGGTTGTGCAGTTCATGGCAGCCTTTGCAGGGAAGGAACGAAGGTTGCTTTCCTGAAAGATGACCAAAAAGGAACCTGTGGGCACAATAGAAGCCTCAAGGATTTGAGTGAAATAACTGGCACAGGCAAAGCTAGATGGCGGATGTGTGGCTCTGCTTCTGTGCCCCAGGGGGCAGACAAGAAGTCAACCTAAAGGTTTCCCGTGTGAGTTCCAGCAAAGTGGACTTCAAGATCATAAGTGATCCAGGCTGCTCTTAGTGTGTTTATGCAAACAAAAAGTCAAAATTAAAAGCAGGACCTCAAAGTAGTCCCTTTAATAACAGTGAGGGTGATCTTAAGGAGAAAAATTATAGTTCAAGGAAAATCATAATACTCAGTATTGGACATCAGAATGGCGCAGCTAACTGTCTTAAAAGTTTGTTTTCATTTGAAAGTTGAAACTGGGTTTGTAATATCACCAAAGATGTACAACTTACATCTTTGGAGGGCCTGTCAAATTGCCATTGCTAAATATCATTGCAGGAAGGGCCTCGCAACTGAATGTCTTCCCAAAAGACAGTCTCACAGGCACTGACACTGGTTTGGGGATTGTTGTGTAAATTAACCTGTGTGTTCTTCTGTTTTCATAGGGCATATGCCTAGGACCTCATTACCTGAGTGGTTGGTTGCAATATAGGCCTCACTTAAGGAGCCCATCCTCATCATCGGCCCCCGAGACTCAACAGTTTGGCCAAACCTATGTGGTTGGGTTGGTGAAGGGTTCGGGCGGTCTGTGGGCTTCACTTTAGAACTGATTTTCCCTTTTGTGTCTTGATGGCTTGGACAGAAAGGGGCCAGATATCTGAAATCCTAATGTATTCCCCTCAGCCCGAGTGAAGTATAGTGGGCCACAAGGGTTTTGGATAGGTGTAGCATGCCTTGTACACCTTCCTCCAGATAAGTCATTAAGTCCCTGACTTTGTCATTTAGTGATTATGATTTCATTGTTCCTTCCAATTCTTCCCAAATCTGTCACCTCCAGAATATGGCCAGAATGCCAACGGTCCAGTATTGCCAGCCTTTGGACACCAAGCCTGGTGACAGCCCACTGACTGGAATTCTGTAAGGTCCTTCTCCTTATGGAAAGGACTCCCTCCATGGTGCACACACCCCCCATTTCAGGGCACCCCTGACCCAAGGGTAGGTAAGATGATGTCCATGTCCAGCCGGAAGCAGTTACAAGAAGATGAGACCTTGTCCATTGTCCTTTATAAGATTATAAAGTGGGTGTATATATGAAAAGAGGGATTGTAACAGGGAGCAGCCAAGAGGGGGGACCCCAAATCGGGATTTGGAATGGGGTCCAGAACTCAAGGTGTCCAGGAAATATTAGGATGTCCTCACCACCATGAGGATTTAAACCCAGATGCAGTAGTCACTGAAGGGAGAACCACGCGGTTTTGGCTGAGTGGGGGCTCCCACAGCCATTGTGCAGAGAGAACCACGCAGCTTTGCCAGAGTAGGGACCCCCACAGCTTTGGAAGGGGGAACCACCACCCGGCTTTAGCAGAGATCCTGGTGACACAGCTGATGGTGTCAGGGAGGGTGGGAGGCCTACCAGCCGAGATAGATTACTGAGAAGAACTGGGGGCTGCCTGAGCCACGGACTTCTATTTCTTTTCCTGAGATACGGTACCCCAGACTGGGCAAAGGGGGAAGGAAGGACTGTGTGTGTTTGTGGGTGTTTTAAGGGACTTTGGGATTTTGATGAAGACATTAGGTCACTACTTAAAGTTTATATAGCATTAAATAAACATTTCCTTTCCTTATCACAAATCTCTGGCATTGAGGGATGTCATTCCTCTAAGGTGGCAGACATAACGAACTCGGGGGGTTCCTTTTGGTAATAGTATATTGCCCTTTTGCCCCTTGTTGTTTGGTAACAGGGTGAAGTGTCTGCTCTCCAAGAAGGCCAAGGTGTGTGGGCAGCCCCAGCAGCAGGACAGAGGCCTGCGCCCGACCTTGTACAGGGCCCACAGGGCCCACTTGCCCACACCCAGCACTCGGACTCCCGGCCCCCAGGAGTGTGGGGTGGTCAGTGCCTGTTGATTAAGCGGCCGGCACTGCCTCGTCACCTTCGTCTGTAAAGACAATTTCTTAGGGGACAAAGGTGGAAAAGTCCGGAAAAGGGCAAGAGCATAATCAATAAAATATAATTAGAAAAACTTTTTTTTTCTTTTTTTTATCCTCACCCGAGGACTTTTTTTCATTGCTTTCAGAAAGGGAGATAGAGAGAGATGGAGAGGGAGGGAGGGAAGCACCCGCTGCTCGTCTCTGGAATGCGCCGGGCTCGCGAGGAACCCGCTCTGGGCGCGGGCGCTGCCAGGGAATCCCACCCGCGGAGCCCCATGGCCGGCCGAGGGCAGTTTTAGACACTTGTCACCACCGTCCCGACTAAAGGGATGGCGGCCCGCGCAAGCTTTCGTCGCCGTGTGTTCCTTGTACACCAGGTGCTGGCCCTGGAGGAGGGAGGGGGAGGGAGGGGGAGGGAGGGGGAGGGGAGGGAGGGGGGAGGGAGGAGGGGAGGAGAGAATAGAGAAGAGGAGGGGGGAGGAGTGGGGAGAGGAGGGGAAGGAGAGGGGGTTGAGGGGAGAAGGGAGACGAGGGGCGGTGGAGAAGAAAGGAGAGGAGGGAGGAAGGGAGGGGAGGGGAGGGAGGGGAGGGGAGGGGAGGGAGGGGAGGGGAGGGGAGGGGAGGGGAGGGCCCGCCCCCTCTCGACGCACGTCAGGCCCCGCCCCGCCAGGCCCCGCCCCGTCACTCCACGGGGCGCGTCGCTGTGCGCGTCGCCATTTTCCGCGATGTGGTGTTGGTGGCGGCTGGTCCCGCTGTTCACGGCGGCGGTGAGTAGGTTTGTGGCCCCAGGGGCGGCGCGGGAGGCCCGGGGGCGACCCCGGGGAAGCCTGAGGAGACTCCCGGCCCGGGGCGGGGGTCCCGATCCCCACGTTTGCACTCCTGCCGGGTCCCGCCGGGACGAGCGGGAACGGGGCAGCGGTCCTCCGCCGTTTCGGCGCCAGGGACCGGTTTCTCCGCGGGCGGGGGCCGTGGGGACGGACAGGAGGCGAGCTCGGGCCAGCTTCGCTCGAGGCCGGGTTCCCGGCGTCGAGGGCCCCTCCCCCACCCCGCCCCGTGGAGTCACGGGCCGCGGGCGCCCGGCTCCGGGCTGCGTCGCCCGACCCCGCGGGGTGCGCGCCCCGGTGCAGGTCGCGCGGGCGCAGGGCGGCCCGAGGTGGCTCCCCGGTTTTCCGCGGGGGATGGAGACTGCCCGCCTTCCGCGCAGGCCTCCGTGGGCGCGGCGGGCGGACTCCCTGCCCGTGCTGCGGGCAGGACCTGGGGTGCTGGCGCGTGTTGGTTTCCGGGGGACGGGGGGGAATTCCACGACCAAACCCCACGGTCCGCGGATGGGGCGGAGATTTTTTTATTTTAATAAGAACGGCCTTTTATTCTCTAAAAATCAACTCAGCCGTTTTTTAATTAGCTTTGGCTCAGAAACGGTTGCCTGCAGCCACTCTGGGTCTGGTGTCCCCGTTTCCACAATTACGTGGTCACAGGAGGTGATTGGTGGGTTTAGTTTTTGTTTTTGTTGTTTTGAGAGACAGGCCAGGGAGGGAGGAAGAGGACAGTGGGACTCTCGCCCCTGCCGGAGGACCGGCCGGCAACCCCAGGCCAGGGCCCTGACCGGAAATCGAACCTTCCCGCTGTGGGTGTGGGTCCTGACGACCTGTGGGTGTGGATGAAGGGAAGCTGGCTGCTGCCTCCAGTCACCGGAGGTGGTTTCAGTTCTCAGAGCCAGGCCCCCCTCCAGGCAGGTCTCTCCCCTCTGACCTTGCAGGGGGGCCCTGGGAACCCTGTCTGCCCCCAGCACGCCCGTGCCCCAGCAGCTGCCTCAGCCCTGTGGCGGCAGCTTGCAGGCGCCTGTCTGTAGTGAGCTGAGCCGGCGTGGGCCCAGCAGCCCGCCGGACAGGGGCACAGGGCACATGCCTCTGTCCTGTCCGTCACACTGGGCCTGGGGTTCTCAGGTCGCCCGTCCTGAGCCTTGTCACAGCGGGCCGTGGCGGCCAGTGACTCTCCCAGGCTTCCCACATTCCTCCAGGCTCCCCAGGGCTTCCTCTTCCTCAGCGGGGCCTCCCAGGGCTCCGCACGTGCCAGGGGGCTGTGATTCCCACAGGGCACTGGGGGTGGGTGGGCCAGCCTTCAGCGCCATCCTAGGACAGGAGGGCAGGGACCGCTCAGCCAGAGGGGCTGGCGAAAGGACTTGGGGGCATGTGGAGAGCAGGGGCTTCTGGGCCAGGAGGGAGACCCCGCTGGGTGAGCCCCTGGGAGGGAAGGCAGGGCGAGGTTGGCGGTGGGTGCGAAGGTGGGGGTCCCTTGGTCATCTGCAAGGGAGGGGCTGTGGGAGGTGCATTGGGTGCTCACGTCTGGTGTGAAAGTTACAGGGGCACCTGGAGAACTCAGCAAACAAGAGAAATAACATTTTGAAGCAGTACTTAGAATTATATACCAGAAACCAATATAATTTTATTAACCAACCTCACCCCAATAAATTCAATAAAATAAAAATATTTTGATGCAATATATTTAAATGAAAAATTCATGCAAAAAGAAGAAGCATGATGAAAATAAAAGTATTTTAAATGAAGACAGAACACGAGCCTGCCTGCCCCCAGGTGCACACCTTGGCCTCCCTCCCCATCCCCATCATAAAGTGTCATTCACAACGGCTGGCCGCCGTTGACGCGCAGGACACCGTCCTGGCTGTGGCCCCACCAGAGCCCCCAAGCGAGGGGCGCACTGCTGGGCCCATGGGTGTCCACTCCCACTCACACGTGTCCATGCGGAGGACACGGGCGTCTGTGGGGAGCAGAGGCCTCTGTGGATAAAGCCAGTTGCCCTTCGTCACTGCAGGTGCTCGTGGGGCCCCGCAAGAGCCCGTGTGCATCTGACCAGTATGAGCTGCACGGCCTCTGCTGCGACTACTGCCCGGCTGGTGAGTGTCAGGACGTCCCTCCGAGCCTCGGCTGCCTGACCCAGGGGACAGGGGTGCTTAGCCCCTGGATCAGAGCTGTGGGTGTGCCTGGTGGGTGGGCCTCTCCCTGGCAGGTACCCCCCCACCCCTGACCCAGCACCCTCTTCTAGCTCCCCCGGTACACAGAGCAGCTGTGCTTCCTTTGAGGTGGGTGAGGCACATTTACCACGCCTGGAGGACAGGTGTGGGGTGTGGGCCCGGGCAGGGCGTGCCCACGGACACGCCTGCAGGAGCCCAGCCCCTTCAGGGCGCTTGTGCAGACTCCTGAGGGTGGGAAGCCCCCCGCAGCCGGCAGCTCTACGCAGGCTCCTCCCTTTGTGAAGAAGCCTGAATTTGCCCATAAAGCAGCTGGAGCCATGGGCCCCGAGGGCCTGCTGGGCCCACCCTCCAACCACAGCCCTCGGGGCCCGTCCCCACCAGGCACCTGGGCCCTCTGGGGGACCTGGTCAGGCCGGTGGCCCCCACACCAGCACCCCTGTGTATGCACTCGGACAGGTGTGTGCACGTGGTCTGGGCCCCTGCCTTCCAGGGTCTCCTCTTCGACGGGCCAGCCCCACAGCTGCCCTGTCGCCTCTGACCCTCCCCCACCCTCACACACAGCTCCCTTCAGCCACGAGCCGGAGGCTTCACGGGGCTCCCAGCTAAGGCCCTGTTCACTGACCTCCCCCCCCCCCCGCCGGACTCCCAGACCGTTCACAACCTGTAGATACAGCCCACACGTGTGCATGAACACACCTGCTCACTCACCCGCACAGCTGAGTGCACACGCACCTGCACACACCACATGTAGGAATGAACAGATGTGAATGGTCCAACGTGAAACCACGTGAGCTCTCAGTGTGCGCACAGAGTGCGTGTGCGCAGGGTGCAGGTGCTTACAGCCCCGGGCAGTCTTCGCCTGGGGCGGACGCCTGTTTCTGGAAGACCTGGGCTGCCCTGCGCACGGGCCCGGATGCTGCAGGGCGGCCCTGGGGGGAGGAGTGGGCGTGGGCTCTGGGGTGCACACTCAGCACCCCTCTTCCCGGAGCTGCAGCGTCTTGAGAAGAGCCGAGGGTGAGTCAGGTCCCCAGCCCCTGGGACACAGGGAGCCAGGAATCAGTCCAGAAGGTTCCAAGGAGCCAGGAGCTGAGGGCTGGTGCTGTGCTGGGGACAGGCCGCCAGGTGCTGTGGCATCTCCTCAAGCAGAGGCCGCAGGGACCAGGGGAGGTCCGTGCCCTGGGCCCCACCTCACCTCTGTCCCACTGCTCCCCCAGGCTTCTACGTCAGCAGAGTCTGTGACGTGGACCGAGTCACCGAGTGCAGCCCCTGTGAGCCTGGCTCCTACATGGCGCACCGCAACCGGGAGACTGCGTGCCTGCCGTGTGCCGAGTGCCGGCAAAGTGAGTGGGTGCAGTGAGACACGGGGGCCCCTTGGTTTCTGCAGCCCGCCCCACGTCCAGCCAGCTGGTAGGAATCACCCCAAGCGCAGGTGTCACAGGTGAACAGAGTGACGAGGAGGCCAGAATGCGTGTCTGCCAGGATGACGCGTGTCTGTGGTGAAAGGGTCCCCCTGAGGCCCTGGGATTGGCTGTCCGAGAGAGGAACGCACACAGGTCCACCCCAGGCTCTGCACGCCAGCCGCAGAGCATTTTAAAAAATGTAACTTTAGAAAAAAGGCACTATTTGCCTGAGCAAGAACAAAGATAAGGCACTTTGCGATGAATCTAGCAAAGGATGTGCGAAGTGCTTACGTGAACAAACGTTTAAGGCAATCCCAGTGTGCGGAGCACTGCGGCAGGAAGCTAAGGAAGAAGAGTCTCGTTTTCAAGACAACGGTTGTCCACGGAGAGGTCGGGGGCCCCTGGGGCACCGGTCAGCCCGTGCCGCGCTCCCCCACACAAGCAGTTTCTCACGTTCAGAAACCCCTGCAGGGTGTTCGTGAACCTGGACACGCTGACGAGCACGGAGCCCGGCTGGCTCGCGGCTCTCCCGCGTGTTGGGTCTGTGCAGCAGAGCAGACAGGGAGCGGAGCCCGGCTCGCTGTCCCCCTGGGGTGCACGGCGCAGCCACGGGCCGGAGCAGGGCGCCCCGCAGATGGGCCACGGGAGTGTGGCCTGGTGAGCGTGCCCCGCACAGCCGGACCCTCAGACGCTGCGGGGGCGGGTCTCTGCCTGTCCCCCCAGGAAACATCCCGGGGCCCGACAGAGGGTGCCCCATGTCACCACCCACAAGACACTTGTGGGCGCATCAGGCCGCACGTAGCAAGGAGAACTTAAGCAGGAAAGAGAAGGGTGCCCGTGGGCACAGGGCATGGGAAGCACTGCGCGTCAGGTACAAAAAGGCCAACGGCCAGAGTGAGGTGGACAGTGCGTCTGTGTTCAAGTTGACAAACTCCCGTCTCAAAGGCGCGCCCAAAGGTGACAGGTTACCCCGTGACGTGGAGAGCGTTGTTATGATGCGGACAACACGTGGAATTAGACCCGGGTCGCACGGGGGTTCCTGTCAGCCGCTCCTGAACAGGCGTAAACAGGTTTTCGTGGAGCGGGGCGGGCGTCCTGGGGGCGAAGCACAGAGGATCGGTGGGCATTCCGACACCCTGGCGCGGGAAGAGCTGTGCCCTGTTGTGTCCGATGACAGGCCCGTCCCAGGAGTTCATGCCACGGGTCGTGGCTCGTGGGGCATTGAGGACTCAGACCAGGGGCTGAGGGGTGCAGCGTCAGGGCCGGCACTTTGACAGGCGGCTTGGGCCCGACCTGGGTCCCTCTTCCCCGTGTGTGGTGGGGGGCGGTGGGGGGCGGTGTGCAGTGGCATCAGCAGGAGCCACCCCGTGAGCGCGGGCAGAGAAGTGGGTATAAAGCACCGTGTGACCTCGCACTCCGCCCCCCAGCGAGGCCGCGCCCCCCCGCGGGAGTGCGCCCCCGAGCGGTGTGCGCAGCACATCCATCCGGTCCACGCTCAACACGGGTTGGTGGGCAAACACCCCGAACGCCGACCCAGGACTGTGGGATCTGGGGAGTCCTGCGTGTGGGTGACCGTTTGGTCTCCCGTGGGTGTGGTCCCACGTGACCTTTATTTCTAGCTCACATGTAGTTCATACTGTTTCAGTGGGTGAGCAGGGAAGACTGGGCCGCTCGCTGGGCCGGCGGTTTTGAACCCTGTCCCCCTCCATAAAGGGGCCCGCCCCAGGGAGGCTGCAGCGCCCAGGGCGCCCTCCGTGTGATCGCAGGGCTCAGCCAGCAGGTGACAGTGGGAGGGGCTCTCCGTGCTCTGTCCTCCCGGGTGGGCTCCTGGCAGGAGCACACAGTGACGCTGGCCTTTGGGGACAGACGATAGTGCTCCTTTGGCAAGGAGCACCTGGGGGGTGTTTCTGTGGAACGGGCTCCAGCCCCTGCACAGACCCCCTGACTGCAGGAATGGAGGTCTGCTAGTTCCCGGTCCTCTCTGAATGTGAGAACAGAGGGAGGGAGCAGGTCCAGTGCCCGAGACTGAGAGGCCGGAGGTGGCAGGCGTGGGAGGGCACAGGGCCCCGGCCCCCGGCCCCAGCACTGGTGACTGACCCCCATCCTTCCGCCCAGGAGATCAGGAGCTGGTCTCGGACTGCACCAGAGACAGCAACCGGCGGTGCCAGTGCAAGACCGGGAGCTACTACTGCGACTCTGAGGACTGCACGGAGGCCTGCCACCGCTGCTCCAGGTGCGGCCTCTGCTCGGCCTGCGCCGCGCCCCTGAGCCCCGCCCACTGCTCGTCTGCTGTGTCCACTCGGGGAGCTGTGCCCCCCCCCCCCCGCCCCCCGTTTCCCCATCTGTGAAGTGGTACCACCTGCCACGTCTGGGCTCTGAGGATTAGGTCAAACAAATGGCCTGGCTGTTTCCCCCTGTGGCCACCCTGGGCCCGTGCTCAGTGCTCAGTCCCTCCCAAGTCGGGGACCCCTTCCTTCCCCGGTGACCGAGCCCGTGGCGATCTGCCAGTCTGCAGGCGGAGCCAGAGACCTCAACCCCCCCCAAGTGCTGGGCACGGTCACAGCTCATTGACAGTGACGGTTCCCTGAGGGGTAGAGGGCGTCGGGGCCATTGTAGGCAGGACTGGAGCAGAGGCCCTGAGGGAGAACAGGTGGGAGCCATAGAAAGTTCTGGAGGAAGGGAGCCCTGGGCATGGAGAGGAGTAGTGAGTACCATGCTCTGGGACAGCTGAATGACCCCTGTCACTGCCTCTGTCCCAGGCTCTGCTGTCACAAAGTATCAGGTATTAAGGCTGGCTTTAAACAACACAGAAATGGGTCCTTTCACAGTTCTGGAGACCAGAAGTCCCGCATCCAGATGTCACACGGCCACGCCCCCTGGGAAGGCTCTGGGGACCATGCTTCCTACCTGTGCGGCTTTGGGTGGTGGCCGGCGCTCCTTGGCTTGTAGGCGCACTGCTGCGACCTTTCCTCCTGTCTGCACAACACCTTCTGCACCTGTGGGCGTCTCTGTCCCTCCTCCTCTCTGCGCACAGATTTCCCTCCTGTGGGACGGGGTCGCCAAGGAAGGCCTGCCCGATCCGGTATGACCTCCCCTTCATGTGACTTCACCCACAAAGTCCGCTTTTCCGAACGCAGTTTCCTTCTGAGTTTCTGGGTGGGTAGGGATTTGGGGGGCGCCTTCTGGGGGATGTTACAGTGGTGATGCCTTTTGCAAAATAGCTCTCTTTTGTGAGGCCCGTTGGAGGGCTTCTCGGTGCAGCTCTGGCCTCCTTGAACTGTCCACTCTGGTACCTGACAAGTCCAAAATCAGGGCGGCCTGCAGGTCTGGTTAGATCAGGGCTCTGGCTCCTCTCGCCTCGCTTGCTGTCCCCGTCTCCGTGGGCTTCATCTCGGGGTTGACCTCCCTCTTGGTAGAGGCGGCTACAGAAGGCCCCGTCCGAGAGCCACACACACCATCCTCAGGAGCAGGCAGAGGGGGGCGCTCTTCCCCAGGCCCCACTCTCCCAGAACCGCTGTGGGCCAGATGACCTGCGAAGTGCCAGGCACGGGTGGCTCGGAGCTGGGGGCCATCCTGGGACCAGAGTGGGGCCGGGCACGGAAGTGACACTTGGTTTTCTTCACTCTGTCCTCCCAGGTGTGATGGCCCCATTCTGGAGACATGTAATGCTACACGGGACACCATCTGTGCCACCGAGGGAAATCCAGAGCCAGGTAAGAACCCGATGCCACCTGTCTGCTCTGGGTGGGCAGACAGGTGAGTGGTTTGGCCTTGTGGGCCGTGCTTGTCGGTACTCGGCTCTGCCGCTGGAGTCACCAGCTGCGGACAGCGGGCGCACGGGTGCTTGGCTGTGTGAAACGTTATTTACAGAGCTGGGCGGTGGGCCGGCTACAAAGCCCCCTGCTACAGCAAACAGACAAAGCCCTGGGGACTAGCTGAGGCTTCCCCGTCCTCGCTCCCCGAGTCGGGGCTCTGCGGGGCTCAGGCTCTGCCTCCGGGGAGACGCAGTCGCCCACCGCCACCATCCTGCCTCACACTCCAGGGGTCGCCATGGGGGCCGAGGGGCTGTTTCCAGGAGGCCTGTGGCTTCTCTGTTCCTGCACTCGGCCCCTGTCCTCTGTCACATCGTCCCCGCGCCACGCGTGACCCCTCCCCCGCAGGCACTCAGACGTCCCTCTGGCCCCTGCCGGTGGGCTGGCAGGCATGCTGCCCAAGGAGGCTGGCTCCTGCGTGTGCCTGTCAGCTCGGGGTTTCCATCGGGGTGGCTTCTAGTGTCTGTCGTGAGTCACCAACACGGGCAACTACACAGACGCAGGACTCAGGCCCTCTGGTCTGCAGTGGGCAGGCGCCTTTGTGCCTAGCCAGTGGGCAGTCTCCACGCCAGAGGTCCTTCGGAGGAAGGTGGCCAGTCTGTCCCCGTTGTCCCGTGTGGTCGGCGCTGTCCGAGCCCCCGTGCAGAAGCAGCGCTCATCCGAGAGGGCGGTCAGGTGACCGGCTGGAAGATTTCGCCTTTCCTTTGCCAGTGCGCCTGAAGTTGCGTTTTCTTGGGGCGAGGCAGGGGTCGGGGTTCTCCCACACACGCCAGGGCCCTGGCACTGCGTGAGCAGCAGCGAGCCTTCCCGCATCGCTGTCAGCTGGCCAGGAGCCCCGCGCCCGTGCGTGTCGGGGACTGTCTGCCGTCCTGGGGCCGGTGCCCCGTGCCCGTTCTTCTCAGCCCCGTCAGGACTGCTCGAGCACGTGGGGTTTCCCGTTGAGAATGACCCTGACAGTTTCCATTACAAATAGACTCGAAACCGCATGGACACTAGAGAACACTTTAATGCCGTGAAAAGCAGAAATCGGGCTAACCAGAGAGGTGAGAAAGGCCGTCGGAGTAGCAGGGGCGTCGGGTCGGGGAGCCGTCCTCCGTCCCAGCGGGGGCCGAGCGTCGGCAGCTCCGAAGGGTCTGCGCCGCCCCTGAGTCTGTGTCTCTTGCTCCCTGTTGGTGCTGCGGTGTCACCCGGGGGAAAGCAGGTCCCCCGAGTGCTGCCCACAGGCCTTTCTCGAGGGTGGACGCTGCCCTGTCCCTTGGGCCACCTCGGGCGGGCTTTGCTCTGGCCAGGACGGGCTGTCCTCTCGGCCTCCAGGCTTTTTCTCTTGCTGGCCCGGGAGTACGTGACCGCGCAGACCGGACCCCTTCCTGGGACCCCAGGACCTTCGCGCCCCTCTGGGAAGACCGTCCCCCGCTAGGGCCCCTGGGAGAGCGTTTGGGGCCTGGAGGCAGGAAGCCGACCCCCGTCCAGGATCGGGCACTGGCCTTCTGTGGCACGGCCCTCGGGCGAGGGGACGCGCTCACCGGGCTGCGGCGCTCTCTGCCCCTTCCAGGGGACCCACCCAGATCCCGTGCCGACTCCTCCTGCATTTGGACAGTGGCGGTGGCCGTCATCGTCGCCGTCGTCGCTGTCGCCGTTGCCGTCGCCTGCTGCAGAAGACGAGGTGAGGCGGGGCTGTCCTGCCACCGCGTCAGGAGCTGCTGCAGGGCCTGGGCCTGGCTCACACCCTGGTGTCTTCCCTGTAAATGCGCCTGCGCTCACGTTCTCACACGGCCCCTGTGCCGGGCGCTACGTGTCCCCAACCAGGCGAGGGGCTACAGAGTCCCCAGGCAGCAGGTGGAGGGGGGCCTCGGGTGCCCTCGGCGGGGAGCGGGGTGACCGTGCTGCTCCCGCCTGGGCCCTGGGGCAGGTGGGCACCCCTCAGACACTCACGCCCCCTGTGTTCACAGGTGTGCAGCTTCCCCACACGGTGGTTCGTTGGTTGAAACGTGAGTACACTTTGTTGTGATTTCCAGGCCTTGGCTTCACACGAGTCCTCGTCCAGGGAAGGTCACTTAGAGTCACACGCCATACGACAGCAGGGACAGGCCCCGAGACAGGCGTCCCTGGGCAATTTCGTGTGGAGCAGACATCACAGGGTGCACGCGCACCTGAGGGGCAGGCCCGCCGCACACCTGGGTGGCGGGGCGAAGCCTGCTGCTCCCGGGCTGCCCCGCTGCACAGCCCGGGACTGAGCCAGCCCGGGTGACATCGGGCTGGAGGGGAGTGACCCAGTCAGCAGTGTGGCGAGCGCGTGCCTGTGGCGGCTGCGACCGCAATCCGGGCTGCCGCCCCCGAAGGCGGCTAGAAACAGAACCAGCACGCCTCGCACGTGGGAGCAGCGCAGTGCAGGGGCGCACGTCCCGGGGCGGGGGGGCGCGCGGTCACCGAGGGGGTCGTGCGTGCCGTCCAGACCTGAGTCGGCCATGTTTCCGCACAACTGCCACGTGGTGCCTTGGTTCACAGCAGCATCGCCTCCGGCGCCCATGTGGTGCGCTGTTGCCCCGTGCCCTGCCCCGTGTCGGCACAGGGGGCGGTACCTGGGCTCCATCTCCGTCTATGGGGACCACCGTCCTGCGTGGGGCCCATGGCTGAGCGAGGCCTCCACATGCATGCCTGTGTGCTTATTTCCTTCTCTTCTCTTTGATTTCAGACGAGTCCAGGGACTCAGGTGGCCCCGTAAGTACCGCCCAGGCCTTGAGGGCACAGGGGACACCATGGTGGGCACGAGGCAGACCAGGCCAGGCCCCAGGCCCCGCAGCCCGGAGTGCGCAGCTCAGCCTTTCGGGCGGCGTCCGCTCCCCCCACTAGAGCCCGGAGTGGCCGTGCTGGGGAAGATGCCACTCTGCTGGCCTACACCTCGGGGTGCACAGGGGGGTGCAGAGGGCACGGGGCTTGTACGGCTTCCCGGGGCTGCGAAACGTCCTCCCCAGCTCGGGGCTGAGAGACAGAACTGACCGTGTCCCGGATGTGGAGGCCACAAGTCTGATCCAGGTGTTAGGTCAGGGTGGGGGGCCAGCTTCCTTCAAGGCCCTGGGGGCAGGTCCCGCCTGTCCCTGCGCTCACCTCGTCTCACGTGGCCAGCTGTCCTGGGTGCTCCTTGGTCTGAGCGCCCGTCAGTCAGCACCGGCCTCTGTCCTCACCCGGACTCTTCTCTGTGGGTCTGTCTCCTGATGACCCTCAGTGGACACTGGGCGTAGGGCTCGTCCTCTACGGCTCCCTGGTCTGCAAAGACCTGTGTCCAACCAGGCCACATTCCCAGGTCCCAGGGGTCTGGATGCAGACCTGTCTAGCTGGGTTCAGCCACAACCCCTTTGTCTCAGACTCCCTGCAGAGTTGGGGGGCCACCCTGCACCTGACCCCATGAAGTACTTTTCTCTGCTACTGCACGGCCCCAGCTGAGCTGTCAGACAAGGTGGCATTTTTCCCAGAAGCGGCTGCGGAGGGCTGCTCTGCAGGCCCCTGCCACCAAAAGTCACGGTTTTCTTCTTCAGTCACAGGGAGGCACCCGGCCCGGGTTGAGTCTGCTGCCCAAGGATGCAGAACACTGCCGGCCAGCCACCGGCGTGGACAGCAGACCGCTGCTGGAACACCAGGGCTTACCCATGGCGCCCTCTGAGGACCCTGAGGCCAGGGTCGAGCTGCAGGAGGTGGTACCCGCAAGGAGCGGGGCCTCCCCGGAGCAGGCGCCGCAGGCGCAGGCTCCCGCAGCCCCCGGGGGCCCGGACCAGACTGAGGCAGCACTCCCCCTCCACACCCTGGAGCAGGTGAGCGGCGTCTGGGCGGGTGTGACGGCGGGGACGCCTGCGTGTGGGGCACACATGCCATGTGCGTGCAGGGTGTGCGCAGTGCTGCCCTGCATCCCCTAACTTCCTGTCTGAGTATCCCGGGTGACCGCAGCGCCATGTCCGGCACAAACTAACTGTGTCGTCTTTCTGTCGTGGGGCTGTGATGAGGGCATGGCACCTGAGTAGGACTTGAGAAAATGAGCAGATTTACCTGCGTGGCCCTGGGTGGAGGACCTTTGTGAGGGCAGGGCGGACAGTGTGTGCACTGCCCCAGAGTGCGGAGCCTGTCTGGCACCCAGTGCATGCTGCGTGTCTGTCCCTGAACTGGAAAACTGTCTCACCGGGCCTCCCATGGATAGGTGTCCTCTCCCTTAGTACTGTCCACAGCCGGACAGGCCACCCCCAGATGACTTCCTGCACCTTTTCCAGTCCTGCCCTGCAGGGCAGGGCAGGGCAGGGCAGGGCAGCGGGAAGCCCAGTGTTGCCCCGGCCCAGGCCATCTCCTGGGGAGTGTGACCCGGAGGGCGGCTGGGCTGTGCGCTCTCTGCCCCTTCTGAGAGGCCAGGCCCCGTCCCCAGACACTGAGTGGACAGCGTGTGGAGGCCCCGCTGCCCCCGCCGGCCCCGCCCACCCGAACTTGGGTGGTTCTGTTTCCTCGGGATTCCGTCAAGAAACTGCCCCGGGGTCTCCTTCTGAAACAGTTCTGTTCCCTTCTCTCTGCAGCAATACGAACTAAAATATGTTTTGAAGGACGGGTCCCCTGAGGGTAAGTCCCCCAAAACCTTCCCTTATAGAGACTGTCAAGGTGTGACATCACGACCCAACGTCCTCCCTCCTGGGAAGCGGGACCCTGGGCCCACAGGCAGCTCAGGGACGTCCCGTGGGCTTCAGACTCTTGGTCCGACACTCACTGCAGACATGGGGGCACACGGGCCTCCGTCCAGTGTCACCTCTGGCTGTGAGGACAGACGCAGGCGGCCCTGCGTTACTGCGCATCCACGGGTTTGAGCAGGAACGTGAGTGGCCGTAGGAAGGCCTGGGTGACCCAGGCCTGGTGAGGCCCGCGGGGGCTGCGGCGCTGCTGTCAGTGGGGACGGGGGTGAGGGTTTCCTGCGGCACCAGCGACAGGCCGCGTGCTGCTTGTACTCTCGTCCTCTGACAGCTCAGGGAGACCCCCCACGTGGCAGATCCAAAGGTCAGACAGTCGGGAGCCCAGCGAGGTTACAGACCTCGCCCCTGCTGCCCGCACAGCCGCTCTGGTCCCGGGGGTCAGCAGGGGGCCGCCTCAGTGGACCCATCACCCCGGGGGCTTCCCCCCCTCGGGCCCCGCAGGCCCCTCTGCCAGGCTCCCTGGCTCCCTGTGAATGAGCGTCAGGCCTGTCAGGAGCCCGGCCGGTTCCCGTGTCCTACCGCGCTCTCCTGTCCCCCTGCCTGGTCCCTTCTGCGAGGGCAGCCTGGGCGCCCAGGGCCTCCTGCGGACCCTGGACCTGGTTGCCAGCTGGGACCCCCACAGCGCACAGCACACGCCACGCCTGCCTCCCAGGGACGAGGCCAAGGCTCCCTTTGTGTTTTTCTCTTTTCAGCCACGAACAGGATCTACTTTGCATTCGGGCAGGAGGTTCCCGAATCTAGCTGGAGGATGTTCATGAGGTTCGCGGGACTGGAGGAGAACGACATTGTCATCTGTGAGCACGAGAACCCGGGGAACCTGGCGGAGCAGCACCACAGGATGTTGCTGCGCTGGCAGAGCAAGCTGGGGCGCACCGCGTCCCCCTTCAGACTCATGGCGGTCCTCTGTAAAATGCAGCTACGGGAGTGTCTGGAGAATATTATAAACAAGTTAGTTACAGAAAATATCTTGGGTAGTAAGGATGCAGAGCCTCCAAACTAGAGTCAGCTTTTTCGGCAACGGCTGTGACTTAGCAGCATCCTGGGTCCTGACCTTCCCCAGGCCCCTTCCCGTGGGCACCTTCACAGATCCCAGATGGAACGCAGCCCCTTCCTTGTCCAAGGAGCTTCTACGGGACGCTTCCGATGGGGAGCTCCATGCAAGCCGGGGGCCCCTCTGCCTGCAGCCCATGTGCCTACAGGCTGCCCCTCAGGGGTCTCCGGGGGCCCTGAGCTGCTCAGGAACGGACCCACTGGCTATACTCGGTGGGCCCACGTGCCGTGGTCTCCTTGTGGACACAGAGGCCAGGAGGGCTGGCTGGTTATAGAGAACCTGTCCGCGTGCAATGGCAGATGTAGCTCAGCTCTGTGGGAAAGCCCGTAGGCGAGTGGCGGCACGCAGGCGCCAACCCCTCGGGTCGGTTCTCCTCAGGAAACCAGGCCCGCCTTGTACCTGGGCTGCTCTGTGACTTGCTCTTGCTGAGACTCCCTCACCCTGAGTTGGGGCAGCAAACGCTTACTGCTCATCTTTAAAGCAGCTTCCTCAGTCTGTGCTAAGTCTCCCAAGGACTGAAGTGTAACCACACCTGTCACTTTTATCTTTCCCTTGCATTTGCAACATTTTTTCCTTGTTAATCTGTAAGAAGTAATCAGTAACATCCTTTCCATTGCTGTCTGTAAAAAGTGATTACCTAAAGCAAACCTAAGGATAATAAATGAAAATTTTCTTGATGTATGCTATTGAAAAGCAAATAAAAGCCTGTCAAGGCAAGGGTCGGGGCGCTCTCCTCTTGAGAGAGCAGCCGTGCCATCCCTTTTCCTCCACAGGACTCGGTGGTCCCTGTGAATTTGTCTCGTCTGGTCGACAACGAGCGGACACTGTGGGCCAGTGTCCACATCAGCTTGTCCTGTGTGTGACCCCAGCAGCTCACTCCTTGGTCTCCCAGGCACTGCGATGTGCGATGCCTTCCATCGGGAGCGCCATACCAGGGTGACACTTAAGTCAGTCCATGACAGGCAAACCAGCGGCCACTCCCAGCTGTCACTAGGTTAGCTGGGGTGGGAAAGGGGGACAGTTACTGTCACATGCCAGCTGTACAGGCCTTTGTACAGGTCTTTACATGTTTAAGCATATGTGCTTTTACTCCTTTATTTAAGTGGTAAAATTCCTCTTACATAGTGTTTTCACATGTGTGTAGAAATTTTTTTCATCCAGTAAAGTTTATATTCTTAATCACGTTTCTGTCATTCCTGTTGCGGGGACAACTTTGGGTGTGCTTTTCTTGGAAGGTGACATGGTCACAGAGAGTCAGGGGAGCTGAGGGTGTGGTTTGTGGGTGCAGGGCCCCGAGGCAGGAGTGGCCTCCTGTCCGGGTTGTGGTGTCCCCGGGGCCTCTGTTCCTGGGAATGACAGCACCATCCGTCCAGCGCTCCCCTGAGAACCCGCCCACCCCGCCCCCTCCTCACTCACCCGGAGCAGCACCCGTCCTTGGAGGTGCTCACCCGGGGCCCCGCACTCCCGTGGGGCATCCAGCACCTTCCACTCCCACGCAGTCCCTCGGCGAAGTCCCCGCCACTCCAGCCAGCCTGTCCCGTCCAGACCCTTGGGCGTCATCCCCACATGCAGCTCCTCCCAAGTCCCTCCCACCCCAGGGTGTGAGGGCCCCCTGTCCCTCCCAGACCTGTGTGCCGGCCCCCTAGGCCCCGCCTCCCTCCACGCTGCTGCCCATCACTGACTCAGCTTCTGTCCACTCTGGCTCCCCTCCGGCCTCCCCGAGTCCAGTCTCCTCCACTGCAGCTGGACTGGGGGTGGGAGCACAGATCTGGCCTCCACCCTCCCCGCCACCCACCCTTACCCCACCCTGGGGAGGGTCTCTGCCGTTCCTGATTCATTTAGGGGAACTGGCAGCCCCAGCCCACGCCCCAAGCCCAAACCTCTTGGCGCTGTGTACGATGTGGTCACGCTGAGTTTGTCACCATCTTCCCTTCACCTAGGGTTAATCGCAGGACAGCCCACTCTGTCTGGAACGTATGTCCCGTCCATCCCCAGTCCCTTCCTCTAAGCCTCCTTGGAACTGGGCGTCGGCAATGCTGACTTCAACACGAATGCACGAGATGACCTGTCCCTGACACCTGCTCTCCGCGGCCACACGGCGACCTCTGCACCTCGCCGCTGTGGGGCCCCAACTCGTGACTGTCCTACCTCCCCCACCAAATGTGGTCCTGGGGACGTTGCCCCAGGGCACAGGCCACTGCCACTTAAAGACTACAACTCCCAGCATGCAGAGGGACGATGGCTTCCTAGTCCTCCGCAGTTGCCTAGCGACCTGGCAAGCCCAGTGGGCTAACTAGGGGCCTAGCGCGGGTACGCTGAAGGGCACGGAGGGGCGTGCAGAGGCGCGCAGGAGTGTGTGGGGCAGGACCTCCGTCCCGGCCGGCGGTTGCTGTCGATTCCAGGAATCCGTCGCCGCGGGTGCGGGTCCGGAATTCTCGCGATGGCTCGTTTCTCGCGGGAGCGCGGTGGGTGCGCTCTGTGGGGCGCCCCGCGATGGACTTCGGCCGGTGTGGGCGAGGGGGCTGGGCCCCGGGCCAGGTGTGCGGAGACCCCGGTCTCCAGGGGCCGGTTTTCGGACCCGGCGGGGCCGAGACTCGGGGCGACTCCAGTCGACTGCGGGGAGGGGAGACCCGCGCCCCCAGGGGGCTGTGCCTGAGCTCGTCACGCCCTCGGGGACAGACTGAACAGGGGCCCGGACTGGCCAGGCCACCCGTCGCCCGGCGTCAGTCCCCCCTTGGGCCGTGCCCCACACCCGAGGTGGCCCTGCGTGTCCCCAGCCCGGCCTTGCCCTGCTGCCCCGGCTGGACTTCGGGGACAGGCCGAGCAGGAGGGGTGCTTGGGTGTCCGCGGAACGGGGTGTCGTCGGGGGTGGGGAGAGGGGCCGAGGTTGGCGCAGGAAAACGGGGCTGCGGGAGCGGCGGGGTCCCCGCCCCCACCCTCTCTGATCCACCGGTGCGCCCCCTGCGCCCGGGGCCGGCCTGGCTCTCCCCGGTTGCAGACCTTGCTCCCAGGACAGAGTGCAGCCCTTCCTAGGCGCTCGGGGAGCAGCTGTGGGGCACACGGCGAGTGAACGGATGATGCACACGCGTGTGAGCTCACGCCGATAGAGACGGAACGGGGCCGAGGGCAGCTGGGCGTTGACTCAATTTTACAGACAATGGACGCCACCTCCGGCTCCTCAGTGACGTCGGCCCCCCTGTCCAGAGTGTGTAGAGTGCAGCATGAAGAGACTCGGGGCGACCTAGGAGGTAGTACCTGTAGTTAACAACGTGGTGTTGTGCACGTGAAATGTCGCTAGGCCCTGGCTGGAGTGGCTCAGTGGACTGAGTGCTGGCCTGGGAACACAAGGGTTGCTGGTTCGATTCCCAGTTGGGGCACATGCCTGGGTTGTGGGCCAGGTCCCCAGTAGGGGGCGCACAAGAGGCAGCCACACATTGATGTTTCTATTTCTCCCTCTCTGCCCCTCTCTCTAAAAATAAAAATCTTAAAAAGAAATGTTGTTAAGGTAGATTTCCTGTAAAGCTTTCTTACCTGAAGAAAAGGGGAAGCAGAAGGTAACGTTCAGGTGTCCCGGGTATGTTTACAACTGCCTGTGGCGGTAGTACGACGGGAGAACACAAGTGTGCAAACCCATCACATGTATACATGAAACATGTGCAGTTTCGTCGTGTCCCAGTCCCCCGAATGTAGACTGCCCGGCAGACCCACTTTGTGGCTGCAGCGTCTCTAAACACCAGCAGTGGGGTTACTGCCCGGGACGTCTGGGAACGCCCCCCCACCCCAGAAAGAGTTTCTCACTCCTGTTTGTTTGTGGGGACAGACTGGGAGCGAGTTCACGACGGCTGGAGGGAGCCGTTCTCCTCGGGCTCTCCTCCCAGCCTTCCCCGGGGAGGACGGGTGGCCGAGGTTCCTGTGGGTTTGATGTGTGGACCAGTACATGCCCTCCACACTGGCCGCCATGTTTAAGGGTCACGTCGTGCCCTCGGAGCACAGTCAGAAGCACGGGGACGTCATCATATGGACCTTTGTCATCGTGAGAAAGGAGATGAATCTGAATACACGAAAGTCTCAGTGACTAGATGAATGATTGCTCATCTAATCATGAAATTCTGTGGGGCTACTGGAAAGCGCAGTAGCCCAGACATCAGAATACGTGGACGAGTTTCCCAGGCGCCTTGTTAAGTGGAGGAATCCGGTGCCTGCTTGTTACCGGCACTGAAATGACAAGAAAGGGCTTTTATATAACCCCCGTGGACACGGAGGTAAGGGGAGAGGGTGCGGGACCGCAGAAGATGGAGAGTGAGCGACAGTGTGCTCGCTGCCGTGTAGTTCCAATGAGCCTGCATGTCCGCTGGCCCCGGGGGCGCTGCAAGGAGGCGCTGCCTGCGACAAAGCCCCAGAGATGCCCGGGAAGGAGGGACACGATCTGACTCTGCAGCAGGGGTCCGTGCGGTTCGGAGAGCCCAGGTCTGTGCTGTTCCTGCGACAAGGAATTTAATCCGGGCTCACTCTCCTCCCCCGCTCCCCTCCCCCAGAACACGAGGGGCTCACTCTCTGAGGGGGCCGACTCAAGAAGGCTCTGCACTCAGAGAACTGGGCACCAGTGGACTGTGTGAGATTTTAAATGCTGCATCATGCAGTCCCGGGCTCTCCTCCTCCAGCCCCCTCCAACACGGGAAGGGACCGGGTCGTTCCCAGCGGGACCTCGGCACACTCGGGCAGGTGTGCCCACAGGTCAGAGTTGTCCCGCAGCAGCGAGGGGCCGCCTCCTGCCAGCCAGCAGGGTGCACCAGCACGCCCACCGACAGCAGGGGCGGGCGCGGTGGGAGGCGGAGGGAGTCAACCCTGTGCCCTGTGTACGGCCACCACCCCGTGGGAACAGTGTGGGGGTGTTTGGGGAGCTGACGGGGTTCTCCCTCTGACCCAGACACCCCCCTGCGGAGATCACACCCTAGGAACCTGGAAACCCCAATCCAAAAGCGCCCTGCCCCCACATTCACAGCAGCACAGTTTACAGGAGCCCAGTGCTGGGAGCAGCCCAAGTGCCCACCAGTGAGCACCCTGTCCCGCCCCATCCTGCCCTGGGCCTTGGGAGGTCAGGGGGAAACACGTGGGACGTCCGGGCCCCCAGGGTCCCTCCTGTGCCCTCCTCCCTCCCGCTTCTCCCCCGTCTTTCCTGAGCTGTGGGCGGGGGCCCACGGCCTCCCTCTGCAGCGGGCTGTGGGGTCTGTGCCCGCTGCCCCACCCTCCCTCACTGGCACCCCGGGCTGCCCCTGCAGAGGCAGGCCGCCCACTCTGGCCCTGGGGACAGAGCACTGGGGACGGTGGTCCCAGAGGAACAAGAGCAGGAGATGGGCCGGGGTAGCAGGATGGGGAGGGGCAGTCTGCGGGAGGAAGGGACCAGGCACTGTGGACCTCGGGGACACCTAGGCCTGTGGCGCCCCAGAGTGTCCCAGTGGGCAGTGCCACTCTGTGCCCTCAGCAGTCTCATGAGACAGATGATCAGACCTCTGCCTCCTGGGCCTGCTTCCCGCTGCTCCCCGATAACTGCAGCCCACCCTCCCCAGAGTCCCCCTCCATCCTCATGAACTCTGACCCCCTGCCCTGGGCCCTGCAGCCTCAGACAGCCCCTGCTGGTACGGAGTCTGTGCCCAGGAACATGCCCCTCCTTTTCAGAACTCCCCCAAGAAGACGACAGCCAGTGGGTGTGTTCCTTTATTCCAGAGGCCAGAGCACACACCTGTCCCCACACTGTGGGGGACCCAGGACATGGGCACAAAATCCGGAAAATGGGGCATCAGTCGGGAGGACACGGTCACAGCTGAGTGCAGGCTCCGTGTGCACCTACGCGTGCGGGTGCTCACACACGTGCACACGCACACATACGCACAGGCGCGCACACACACACCTGTGGCACTGGCCATGGAGCGGAGGGCAGACGCCACGTGCCTAGGTATTGCCGCGGCGTTGATCCAGCAAGTGCGGGGGAGAGCGGGGCCCTGCTGGGCCCAGGGGAAGCGTTCCCAGGCGGGCACAGGGCAGCCGAGCTCCACCCAGGGCTCCTGCCGCAGGTTGGCCCGGGGCCCAGCTGCCTCAGTCCCAGACGACGCCCCTACGGGCTCCAGGTCCTGGGATCTTCTGAACCAGTCCCACAGGCAGGCGCAGGTCCCGGGAGCAGCGACGGGCACAGCGTCTTCACCCCTGCACCTGCGGGCCACCCACAGGTGACCAGCTCTCCACGGTGCTGGGGAGCACCGGGCCTCAGGCTCCACTCCGAGTACCAGTAGTCTGTAATTATTTTTAATGATTTTATTTATTTCCTTTTTTAGAGCAAGGGGGAAAGGAGGGGGGGAGAGGGGAAGGGAGGAAGAGGGACAGGGAGAGAAACTGCAGTGTTTGAGAGATACGTGGTTGTCTCTCATGCAGCTCCCAACTGGGGACCTGGCCTGTGTCCTGACTGGGAACTGAACCGGCGACTCCCAGGCCAGCGCTCAGTCCACTGCGCCACACCAGCCAGGGCCGGGGCTGCACACAGACAGGCTTCGGTCCCCTGTGGGGGCCCGGAGGGTCTGCCTCCCGGGTCCCATGCGATGAGCCGCAGCACACTGAGCTCTCAGGGGCCTGAAAACACAAGCAGGGGTCCTCGGGGGGCTCAGCGCAGGGGCCGCCCCTAAGGACAGGGGCCCAGGACCCCAGGCTCAGGGGGCCAGCTCTGGTCTCAGCTCTGCCCTCTCTGCTGGCTCCCCTGGCCTAGGTCCAGGCCCCGAGAGGACTGTGGGGGCCTCAGTTTCCCCACTGTGAACAGAACCCCACCAGGTCTGAGACTCCCCCAGCTCTGAGCCCTGGGCTCCTGTTTGGTCGACAGTCGGGCAGAGAGGGGCCCCTGGAGGGGGTGCGGCCTCCTCCCCAGGTGGGGGCTGGCCGGCCCTGGACAGGAGGCCGGGTCAGGGCCTGAGCAGTTCTCGGGGAGGACCACAGCTGCCCCCCGCCCCAGGAGGCACTCACCAGGCTTTCTCCTCGGTCCCGGGGTCCTGTGGGCACAGACAGAGGAGTGTGGTCACGGGAGGCTGCCAGGAGGGTCCTCTCTGTGACAGGATGGCTTGGGAGGTGACAGACCCCTCCCCAGGCCAAGGACCCCACCAGGGAATCTGCAGGAGGGGGCCGGGTGTCCTCCATCCTCCTCCCCGGTTTTCCAGTTCCACAACTTCTGGAACCTTCCAACAATACTATGTCTCTCTGCACCCAGAAATCCCAGCACCCTCTAGCACAGCAGCCCCCCGAATCTTCCCCATGGCCCTGCCAGACACCCCTGTGCCAGGCCAGGGGGACCTTGGAGACGGAGCTGACAGTGATTAATGACGCCTTAGGGCCCCAAATCTACCAGGCCCGTCCCTCAGCCCCAGAGGCCGGGGTGCAGCAGGGATGGCACCGAGATGGCTTCCAGGCTGTTCTCCCTTCTGGTCACCCTGTGGGGGGGCTGAGCCCCAGCGGGGAGAACCCGGAGGACCTGGCAGGGGCCCGGCCCTGTCCTCCCGCAGCGCCCGGACCGCCCCCAGCCCGGGCTGTCACTCACTCTCCTCCGGGGGCTCCAACTCGGAGCGTGCGCTGCTGGAGGGCCTGCTGCACACGGGCTGGAATCTCCCGACTTTTGGCTTCTTCGTGCAGGCAGTGACCATGGTGATGCCCAGAAGAACCGCGGACAAGATCATAAAGCTCCCGACCAACCAGAGCCGGTGTCTGCCCTCTGACAGCGGGAGAAACAGAAAGTGTGTCCCTCAGGTCAAAGCCGACCTGGTTTCCAGCAGCCGCGGGACAGAGTCCCCACAGACCAACCTCAGTTGCGCTAGTGAAGGACATGAAAGCCCTCTTTCGGGGCACTTGCACCCCGCGTCCACGTGTGCCCACAGACACACGCACACGCACCCACTGGAACCCGTCGCCACAGGAAGGAGTACCCCTGCCATCGTAGGACTATGGACACACCGGGGACGGGGGATAGGTGAGACTACCCTCAGAGACACATCCCCCAGGTGACCCCATGTCACGTGGGGCCCAAACACCACCCAATGTTGCGAGACGTCCCCTCTGACCCTCCAGGGGTTCTGTCGTCTTCAGACCGTGCAGGTGGGTCTTTGGGTCGTTGTGAGTTAGTTTCTGCGTCTGCTGTGACGTGAGGGCCCAACTCCTCCCGGGCCGGGGGACGTCCAGGGTCCCCAACACCACTGACTGAAAAGCTGTCCTTGTCACAGAGCGGTCAGGGCTCAGGGTCTGTTTGTTTAAAAAGTGTCCCCGAGTCCCTGAGCAGGAGAGTGACACCACCACACCTGTCTGTCTGCACCTACGTCTGTGTGTCCCTCGGCCACACAGAGAGGTGACGCCCTGGCAGGTCCCACTGAGACTCAGGGGACTGGGGACACCAGCCTGAATGAGAGAGCCGGGCACACAAGGCCACATGTCACTGGATTCTGTGTCTGTGACCGGTCCTGAACAGGGGGTCCGTCCCAGAAAGTAACTCGGGGTTGCTGGGGGCCGAGGGGGAGGGGGGCACTGCTGGTCCCAGGGCTGATGGGAAGGAGCGGGAACTGCACTGACCCCGTCAGACGGCTCCCCCGGGTCGCGGGATCTGCTCTCCTCAGACAGACCCCTTAACAACAGGACGCCCTCTCACCTGGACCGGGCGGGCCGCACACCGTGTCCGCCGTGGAGTTGCACTGCTGCAGGACCACTGTCCCCTCGGGACACCTGGGGGTGAGGGTGACACAGCTTCACTGTTCCTGCTTCCACGTCTCTCCAGCCCCAGGCACCCGGGTCCACACTGTCACCAACAGAAGGTGTCTCCGTGGGGCGCTCCCCCAGCCCACTTTGGGGAGCACCATGTGCTGTGATCACAGACCCCACGAGGGGCCTGGGGTCACAGGAAGCCCCAGCCTCACCCCACAACCAGCCCTGGTCCCACGAGGAGGACAGTTGACCTATTTCCCCCCATGGACGTCCATGGCCGTGTGTGTGGGCCTGGGAGCTGGAGGAGGGTCCGTCCCTGCTTTAACAAAGGCTGGGGCCGCAGCTGCTCCCTTCCTCCCTGTTGCCAGCTGAGGGCGCACCGTCAGTGCAGCGCGTTCTGGCGTCCTGGGACAGGTTCGCTCAGGGCTCGGGGAGCGACTGACTCGCTGAGGACCCCGTGTGGGTGCTCCCGGCCCCACCCCCCCCGCACTGCACCGCATGGCAGGACGGCACGTGTCCAGGCCTCTCAGTCACTGGCTCTGTGCTTCCTCCACCCCCCAGGTCCCTGACCTTCTTTCTGGGGAGCTCGGGGCTTATTCTCGGACCCCAAAACTCCAGATTACAAAGGGAAAAACGGTAGAGACCCCTCCCGGTTCGACAGCGTTTAGGAACCAAAATTCCGTCCAGCCTGTCCCTTTGATTTCTTTGGACCCAATGCAGCCCAGGAGAGGCCGGACATGCAAGTCCTGGACCCCCAGACACCGTCGTTCCCCTGGGGTGAGGTCTCGGGCACGTGGTCAGCCACCTGGGTGACTGGGTGACCCAGGACTCTGCACACAGACGGCCAGCAGTCGAGAGGACAGAATAAATGTTTCTGAAAGACCCAATGACCTGAAGGCACCTGTTCCCAGGAGGTGACATCAGCACCCTCCAGCAAAGCAAAGGAGGGACCCAGACAGGGGGTGGGGGGGGGGCAGTGGGAGGAGCCCAGGAGGGGGGAGGAGGGGGAGGCCCTGCCTGGGCTGCTGGGCGCAGACTTGAACTGGGGCCTCAGCTGGGGACCAGGGAGGGACACAAGCGCCAAGACTATGAGAAACACGAGGCTGAGGGGGAGCCCCACAGCCCCGTGACCCCGCCCACGGCACCCACGCCCAGTCACCTACGTGCTACACCCCGTGCAGAATTCCTCGTCGCCAGGGGCTTTGTAGAAACGGCCTGGTCGGCACTGGCACCTCGTGTTGCTGGTGGCAGTGCACTCGGCCGCCTCGTCTTGGTCTGCAGTTCAGGAAAGCCTGCGTCAGTCCTGGGGGACCCGCCCTGCCCTCGTGCACAGGGGCGCCTGCGTGGGGTTTGGGCTGGAGACCCTATGGCCCGGGATGGAGCTCAGTCCGTCACGGCAGGGATCTGGGCCGGTCTGAGGGCTCGTGTAACCCTGCGGGGGACGCCTCTGCCACCTGGTCCCACACCTGTGTCCCCAGGGCCAATGCCCGGATGGGGGCGCTGGTGCAGGAACAGGGTCACACGGACACAGTTTGAACCACAGTCTCAAAATGCCTCCACCAGGGAGTTTCTTTTAAAAAAACCTAGCTTGCCTGACTGTGTCTTCACCAATACCGCGTGTTCACCTTTGTGGTTGAAAAAAAATAAGTGTGTTTTTCCTGTGGGGTTGGCCACTTGTAAAGCGTGTGTACGGAATCTGGGCTCACAGGAACACTGAGGTTTCAGGGGTCACATGCAGTGGACCCCGGAGGGGGACGCCACCATCTGACTCTGAGCGAGGGAAGAATCCAGCCTCCGCTGCACCCGAGGCGTCAGGGGCAACGGGGCGGGTGGGGACAGTCTCCACTGCGCTCTCTGCAGGGGAACCACAGGGGACATTTTCAAAGGAAAACGGGGTGACGGTCCGTCCGAGTGTGGACTGGTATTGGGGATCACTGCTGGTTCCCCTGGGTGGGTGATGCACCCCTGGTGCGTGCAGGAAGTGTGGGAGGTGGTGAGCTGGGGTGAAACACGGAGACATCTGCAGGTGACTGGGAAATTGTTCTCACCCCCTCGCACACAAAAAACACACTTATGCACACATGTGCACACAAATGCACTTGTGCGCGCACACACTCTTTCACACTTGCACACACACACACACAGGTGATCAAACAGCACCAACTGTTAAAGGGTCGGCAGCCTCTGTTCTACCCTGTCGCGTGCCCACCAGGTTGGAAGGGGCTGGTGACACGCAGTACATCATCCCTGACTCCCTGAGGGGTGACGCTGACCCTGCTGCCTCTCCGTGTGCGTGTGCGTGGGATTTCCCAGTTTCCCACATGGAACTGAGCACCTTCCCAGGGTGAACACGATGACAAAATAGACATGGGGCTGAGAATGTGGAACCGGAGTGGCTCTCTGGGTCCTGTCACTTTCCTGCTGTCACACTACGTGGGGACCGACGTGGGAGCTGACGGACGTCTCCAGCCGCATTTCTGCGGGGCTGTGAGCTCTGCACTGCGGGACCGGGACGTCCCTCCTTCACCCGAAGGCCCCGCTTTCCCATCACGTTTCTCGGCTGCACCGTGAGCGTCCCTGTGGCCAGGTCCCGAGGCCCGACGTGAAGGTCCGGCCACGGCAGGGTCAGGGGCTGGCAGGTCAAGGCCAGGCAAGGTGCCCGGGGAGACTCACCCTGGGAGCAGGTGCCACACAGCAGGCAGGACCCCAGGCCATTGGGGAACGCCATGAACGTGCCTGGGTCACACTTGTCCCACTGTCCCCGGGTGTGGGGGGCGGCTGCAGGGTTCACGGACATGCTCCCCTGTGCAGGAGGTGGGCGCTGTGGTCAGACCCCTCCAGGCTCGAGGGGCGTCCCTGCTGTGCGGCCTGCCCACCCCGTCCTGGGGGCAGCCCCGCCAGTGGGAACAGGGAAACACTTCTGTCTGCAGTTTCGGATCAAAGTGACCTCTGGACGTCACTCCTTCTGGGACATGAGGAAGCACAGACCTGTCCAGGGATCCCACCTCGGCCTCCTATCCCTGCCCTGCACCTGCCCCCCAGGCAGCTGTGCTGTGCGCTGCACAGGGACCCCTGCCCCCAACCAGCAGACACTGAGGACCCAGAGGTCACGCCTCTTGTCAGCAGGAGCAGGTCCCAGCGCTCTGCCTCCCAGCCAGGGCCCAGGCTCAGCCTCTGGGAGGAGCTCCGCCCAGTTCCCACCCACAGGGGTGTGCCCTTCAGGACCCAGGAGCACCTCACCGGGCCAGCAGGTTCCTGCCACCCTCTCTCAGGGCAGATGGGGCTTCCTTCTAGAAGGTGTCCCCTGGGGCCATGTCCCACCTCATGGGTGCTGCTAACCTGCCTCCCCCCACCCCCACTGTCAGGAGAGGGCCCCTCCCCACGGCCCGACATCCGTGGACTCTGCGGTCCCTCCAGGCAGACCTGTCCCGGACTCCCCCGCGGGGCAGAGCAGGCAGCAGTGGCCTGGGGACCGGTACTCGTGGGGCCCGCAGCTGTCGGTGGGGCCGGGGTGGGCCGGGCTCTGCTGGGAAGTCTGGTGGGCGGGGGCGGTCCCCGTCAGCTGGAACAGAACAGGAGAGGTTGCCTGACTGCCCACCTGTCCTGTGCCCCGTGCAGCGGAGGGGGGTTCCCTCAGCTCCGGCCACGGCTCAGCTCAGTGAATCCCTGAGTCCCCTGCAAGAGGCAGGAGCTGCCCCGGCACCCCACCCCCACTCGGGCCAGATCTGCTTCCCAGACCCTCTCCCTGCAGAGCTGGGGCCCCTCCCCGCACACGCCCCGGCCCTCGGAGGATCCACTCCTGGGCCCCCGCCCCGGCATCGGAGGCCATGAGCTCACTGGCTGATCCCCACACGTGGGGTCAGGAAAGGGGCCCCCTCCCCCTCCCGTCCCCTGGGCTGGGACGGGTGACAATGCCCAGGTTTCAGGAGCGAGAGGAGGTAGTGACAGTGACACCAACCCCAGCAAGGACACATCTGGGGGCCGAGGGCTCCTGCATGGACAGAAGCCTCCTGACCTCCCCTCCCGCTTCCGCCTGCACGTCTCACTCACCGTCTCCTCTCAAATCCCCTGTTAGTTTCTTTCCCCTATTCACACCCTGAGCTTCTCCGCACACCGCGGGTTTGCCGGGAGGAGGGCGAGTGGGGAGGGGGAGGGGGGCGACCTCCCTCCGCGGCCCCACCCACCGCTGCCCCTCCCCCAGTGCGATCCCGCCTGGGCCCCGGCGGAGGTGCAGTAAAACAGGGTGAGATGCAGGGGGCGCTCTGACCCCGGGGCCACCCAGCCAGGGCCAGCGGTTCCCGGTAAACCGTGCGGTTCGCCGGGGATCAGTCATTCTCCCTGAAGCTGTACCCGCCCCCCCCACCCCACCGCCCGCAACCTGCAAAGGCTTCGTTACCAGGGTCCGTCCCCGCGCGGCTGGCGGGGCCACCGGGAGCATCGCGTCCACGCTCAGGACCAGCGGCCTGGCCGTGCGCCCCGCTGCCCGCTCTGCCCAGCCTGGCGGCCCGGGGGAGCCTCCCCGCGGAGGGAGCCCCGGCCCGGGTGGCGCGGGGACCGCGGAGGGGACGCCCCTGCGCTCGGCGAGCTCCGGCAGGGGGGCGGACTCCGCCGCTGGGACCCCGGGGGCCCGGCGCCAACGCCACGGGTTCCCCGCCACAGCTCCAGACCCCGCAGGGGTCCGAGCCCTCCTGGGGCCCCCGCCGGTGTCGGGGGTCGCCCTCCACCGCCCGCCGACCCACCTGCGCCCCGAGCAGCGGCGGCGGCGGCGGCGGCCCCGGGAGAGCGGACGTCCGCCGCATGGGGCCCGGCCGGAGGGGCGGCCGCAGCTGCCAGCGCAGTGCGAGTGCTCCCCAGGGCTGGGGCGGGCTGTGAGCAAGTTGGACACAGGGTGACCCACCGCCGCCACGACCGTCCCACACGGAGTGTCCCTGCAGTTTCCCCCGCTCCCGGCCGCGGACCGCCAGGCCTCAGGGAGCTTCGGGGCAGGTTCGACGGGAGGCTGAGGGAGCAGTTTCGACAGGACGGTGCGGCGGTGTTCAGAGACCGTTAGGGGTCAGTCAGTGTTCAGCGCTGAGGAGGGGCAGTCTTCACGGAGGCCGAGGTTTAGTGTGCAGACAGGGCGGGGGCAGTTTACAAAGAGTCCGCGGGCCCCCGGAGGAGAGTGAGCGACAGCCCGGGCTGGGGGCGGGGTCCGGGCGCGGCGGGAGGACGGGGCGGGGCCTCTGCGGGGTCTTCCGGGTTCTCCCGCTGCGGCCCCTCCCCCACCCGGAGCCGCCCGAAGGGGAACAGCCCGGCAGCCATCCCGGTGCTTCTCCGCCGATCCCCAGGCTCCCGCGCTCGGGGACGATCGGCCCCTCGGCAGTCTGAACGGTGAGGCTGTTTCAGCACGTCCTTCTCCCCGCGTGGCTCCAGGGGACCCACAGGGAGCCGGCGCGCTCGAGAGAGCAGCCCCCGCAGAAGAAATGCGGCGGTGGCGTCGTCCACTGGGGGCGGAGTCGCACTGACCCCGCCCCCACGAAGCCAGCGGGCCTGACTGAGCTGCCAGACATGCGGGCACACCTCCGGCCCGGGTAACGCGGCGGGCTGCCGCGCAAGTGAAACTAGGACCCCGACAACGGCGTCTAAGGCTGCTCCCGAGCGGCGCTCGCTCAGGTATCTGGGCTCCCCTCTCCGGACTTTGTCTCTGCTCCTCGTCCGGGCGCGGGTGGCAGCGGGGCGCTCCGGGGGGGGGGGGGCGGACCCCGACAGCCGGGCGGGTGTCCCCTGGGGACAATAAGGCGAGCAACGTGACAGCTCTGAGCGGGCCTGGGGGTGGGGATAGGGCAGGAGAAATCCTGCTGCCCCCCCCACCCCCCGCGCACTGGGTCCGAGCAGCTAGTGTTGGGAATTCTCCCAGCTCAGGGGCGGCCCCCGATTCCCACTCCCTGCGGGACTCCCAGATTCTCCACCGGAGCGGCCGGGGGATGGGCGTGGGGACACGAGGCCGAGCTCACTGTCCAGTCCCGGTTCCTAACACGCCGGGCAGGTACCGGTCCTCGGGGTGCGCGCCCGGTGCAGATCTCGCTGCCGAGGGGAACCTGAGGTGGGTCCACGGTTTTCTGGGGGGACTGGGGACTGTCCACGTTCTGCCCGGGCCTCCGTGGAGCCTGGCGGGCGGAGCCCTGACTGTACAGAGAGGGTGAGGGAACCCAACACTATTCCCCTTTCGGACCAGACGCGGGTGGGGGTGGGTAGTAGCGTGGCTCCACCCCGAGGGCGTACAGACAGTGGCTCCAGGCCCAGGACGTGATCCCTGTAAGTGCTGGGAGGGGAGCAGGGACCGGAAACTGGGGCTTGACTTGCAGTTGCTGGTGTTGCTGAAACCCAAGCCACTCCTTCTGGGGACGGTTGGAGATTTCCTCTTAAGAAGCTGGGTTTTTTTGTTGTTGTTGTTTATTTGTTTGTTTGTTTTTTACTAAAAATGAACTGTGGATCCGGGCAGACCCCTGGGCTGCCCTGTGACCTGACACGGAAGCTGCAGAGCGGCCCCGGGCGGGAGGGGTGGGCACAGGCTCCTAGGTGCACGGTCGGCACCCCTCTTCCTGGAGCTTCAAGACCTAGGGAAGAGCCGAGGGTGAGTCGAGTCTCCAGTCCCTGGGACACATGGAGCCGGCAATCAGCCCAGAAGGTTCCAAGGAGACAGGAGCTGAGGATTGGTGCTGTGCTGGGGACAGGCTGCCAGGTGCTGTGGCATCTCAGGAAGACGCCTCAGGGACCAGGTGGGGTGGGTGCCCTCGGCCACACCATCACCTCTGTGCGCCCCCTTCACAGGGCCCTATGTCAGCAGAGACTGTGACCTGGACCGTGTCACCGAGTGCAGCCCCTGCGAACCGGCTCCTTCACCGCCCACCGCAACCGGGAGACCGCGTGCCTGCCGGGTGCCGAGTGCCGGGAGGGTGAGTGGGCCCAAAGAGGTGCGGGGATCTGTTGGTTTCTACAGCCTGCCCTGCAACCACCTTCCTCCTAGGAATCACCCCAAGTGTGGGTGTCACAGGTGAGGAGGGTGACAGATCAGACATGATGTGTGTCTGTGAGGACGACACTCATCTGTGGTGAAAGGTTCTACCTGAGGTCCCCGGGATGCAGAGCCGCTGTCGAGAGAGGAACGCACGTGGGTTCACCCCTGACCTCTGGGTGCCCCGCAGTCTGTGGAGGAGGCTGGGGTTCTGCCACCTTCCCACCCCGCACTCCCACCAGGGCAGCGACCCTCCGCCCACAGTCCCCTGCACTGGGTGGGGGACTTAAATCCGAGCAGGGGTCAGGCCAGGTAGAAAGGCGGCAGACTCCCCCGCTGACGTGTCTGCCTCACTGAGGAATAAACTGCAAGGGGTTTAAAATAAATACATTTCAGGATTCCTTGTTGTCTTTCTGAGGAGAAGGCCATCGGCGTTTCAACAAGGACAGCCTGAGTCTGGGCTCGGCTTCAGGCAGCGAGGACGGGGTGACAGTGTTGCTCCTGCCGACCCTGAGCTCAGTGTGTGTCCCCCGTCGCGTGTCCCCTCTTCGTCTCCTTTCTCGGTTCCTCCAGCCGTCAGGGCGCAGGCTGTCCGCTCTCTGGCTGACCTTGTTCCCGGGTGGTTTCTGCTTTCGGACGCAACCGCAGGAGGGGACTGACGACACCTCCCTCTGGTTACCCGTCACTGCTGCCCGGAAGTGCACCCGAGTCCACATTGTGTCCTGCGACCTCACTGCCTTCATTTCCACGTTCTCATGGGCATTTTGTGGGTCCTCAAACGGTCCCTACGTACCGCGTCCCTGCCGTCTGCGAGCAGTGCGAAGGCTCCTCCTCCCTCGGATGTGCTTGCTGTTTGTCTCTGTCTCGCGTGACCGCTGTTGCTCGGACTCCCCAGTGCTCTGGTGCGTGGGAGGGTGGTGAGAGTGGGCGTCTGTCTCCCTCCTGATCGGACAGAGGGAGCTTTCGGCTTCTCACCGTTGGGTGTTGTGTCCCTGTGTGTCTAGGAATTATGTTTTTTTAAAAGATTTTATTTATTTTTAGAGAGAGTGGAAGGGAGGGAGAAAGACAGGTAGAGAGAGACAGTGTGTGGTTGCCTCTTACGTGCCTCCTACTGGGGCCCTGGCTCACAGCCCAGGCATGTGCCCTGAATGGGAATTGAGCCGGTGACCTTTTGGTTTGTAGGCTGGTGCTCAATCCTTGAGCCACACCAGCCAGGGCAGGATTTATGTCTTGAATACACATTTTTATTTATAATTGTAACAAAATTGGATGCAGTGTATATATTTTGATATTGTAGATTTTACTAACGAGCACAATTAAATATGAAGTTTTGTGTTAATGCCAGTTTTTCTTTAAGAGTAACTCCTGCCAGTGTGATCCGTGGGGGTAAGGATAAATGTTTTCAGCCCTGGCTGGTGTGGCTCACTGGTTTGAGCTCCAGTTGTGAACCAAAGGGTGGCTGGTGGATTCCCAGTCTGGGGCACATGCCTGGGTCGTGGGCCAGACCCCCAGCGAGGGGTCTGCGAGAGGCAGCCACAGGCGGATGTTTTTCTGCTTCTCTTTATCCCTCCCTCCCACTCTCTACAAATAAATAAATAAAGGCATAAAAAAAAATTTGTTCAGGGCATTTGCTATACAAGGAAGGACGAAAATAAACCACAGGAATTACCTTCTGGAGGGTGGGCCCCTTGTAGTGCAGGCTCCCCCGCCAGGCGAGAGTTCCAGGAGCCCACCTGCATTGACCACTGGTCCTCGCGACTCGACGGCTCTGAAGCCTCTTAGAGCTTCTGCCGTTTTGTTTCACATCTTACATGCTGGGATGTTTCCGTTTGTGGACTTTTTCATGCGGAAAAGAAAAACAATCACTCTGGGTAAATAGGGAGGGTGGGCACTGGTCGAATGACTAGCTGGCGTTGTTGTGAGAGGCGGTGCTGAGCTTAAGTGAAATTTTTTGACGACTCTCCCAGAGCACTGGCCCATTTCCTGACGGGTCATTTGCCAGCCCACCTGCCCACACCTGCGGAATGTTGAGCAGTTTTTGACCAAAAACCCAGGTGCCCACCCTCCCTACTCACCCGATCTCACCCAGACCGACTGTTTTTCTTTCCTGCATGAACAAGTCCACAAACAGAAACGTCCCGACGTGTAAGACGTGAAACAAAACGGCAGAAGCACCAAGAGGCGTCAGAGCCGCCGAGTCCAGAGAGTGTTCAGGGCGGTGGACGGACGTCCCCACGGGTGTCCCCCATCCAGGGGGGAGCATGTGAGGGTGACCGAAGGCTGAAGATGTGACAATAAAACCACAATTTTTATTAGTAAATTCTCTTGTTGGGTCGCCCCTTGAGTACATGTGACCAAATGCATCCACAGGAGTTCACATTCACGTGAAACACAGCATGTAATTCCCATTCTAAGTTATTTAAATTTCATTCCTTCATGCTTTATATTTTACAATGGTCTGTGATGGGAATGAAAAGCAATAAATATCCTCCCAAATATGTGGAAATGTGTTCCCCATTCTGGAAATTTTTAAAGTTTAAATCATAGAGATATTTTTTATTATTTTTACTTATTTTTTTATTTATTTATTTTTATTTTAACTACAGTAGACTTTATTTTCCCTGAATCACTGCTCCCCAACCCAGCCATCCCCTAAAACAGTCAGATAATTTAAAGCACAGAGTGCAAAGTTCCTGGGCTCCTGCCCTGGCTGACAGGGGACCCCGTGGGAGGGGCTGAGCAGGAGGGAGGTGAGGGGGCAGGACTGCTGGCTGCTGTGCGGAGCGCGGCCTGCAGGGGGCAGCAGTGGGAAAGGGGACTGAGAGCAGAGGGGCCTGCCTTCCTCAGAGGGTGGTCTGGGGGGCTCGCACCTGTCTGAGGCAGGGAAGTGTGGGCCAGTGGGGGGCTTCTGAGCAGGTTCCTACAGGAGAGCCCGGTGCTCCCTGCTGGCGAGGGATAAGGTACCTGCATTACCGCCCCACGTTTCATGGCTGATTTCCACGGTGGGATCCAAGGTGAAGAGACCCCCCAGGGGCACATTTGCAGAGGAGGCTCTAGGGTCCCCAGTGATGGCGGTGGTGCCTGGGTCGGCCCTGGGGAGGCAGCCTCTCCACGTGGAATCCTCCTCCTCCTTCCAGGTGGTCCCTGCTGCCCATCCCCTGCTGGCCTCTGTGTGTGCACAGCAGGTCAGGATGGGGAGGTGCCTGGTGCCCCGACTGCCTGCCCTCCCTGTGTGCCTCGCCGTGGTCCAGCTGCTCAGCCCCTGCTCAGGTAGGACCGGCTGTGCGTCTGCGTGTGTGAATCCTTTCCCTTCGGGCCCAGCCAGAACCCAGGACTCCGCCCACCCCTGCAAGGCCCATCCACCCCGCACCTGTGTGAGGACTGAGTTCCCCTGTAGGTGTCTGTCACCTCACCCTCCCTGCCTGGGTCACCCCCTGGCCCTCTGGCCCTGCTCACTCTGACGGAGCCCCCCCTTCTGATGACCAGCTGTGTTTGCTGTGGTCGGACCCCCCGAGCCCATCCTGGCCATGGTGGGTGAAGACGCAGACCTGCCCTGTCACCTGTCCCCGGAGATGAACGCTGAGAACATGGACTTGACGTGGGTGCGACCCAGCCGCAGGCAGGTAGTGCACGTGTACGCACACGGGCAGGAGGAAACGCCGGCAGAGGAGTATCGAGGGAGAACTTTGATTTTACGAGAGGACATCACTGCGGGGAAGGCCGCTCTCCGGATTCACAACGTCAGCGTCTCTGACAACGGCACCTACCTGTGTTATTTCCAAGATGGAGACTTCTTCGAAAATGCCCAGGTGGAGCTGCAGGTGGCAGGTGAGCCTCAGGCTTGTTCCAGGCTCCTTTCCCTGGGCGGGGGCAGAGGCTGCAGACCTACCCCAGACACGTGGGCTGCTCACCAGCATGGGTGCCCCCCCGCCTCCATCTCTGCTCCTCTGAGGTCCGTCACACACCCGGGGTCCCCCAGGGTGACTTCCGCCTGCACCCAGTACAGAGTCCCCCAGGCCGCCCACCAGTCTCAGTGGGGAGTGGAGGTCGGGGATGGGAAGGCTGAGGACACCTCCCCGCAGTGGGTGGCACGTGAGTGTTTGAGTTCAGTGTGTCCCACACTGTGGCCATGGTCCCCCAGGTGCCCACTGTGGTGGGTCCAGGAAGCTGAGCTGCAGGGACAACTCCTGTGGGGCCCACATCCCCCACCAAACCCCCGGGAACACGCCTGCAGTTGAACAGGTTGTGACGTCCTCAGTGCAGCAGGGAGGACGCTCCCCTGGGGACGGGGACACCGGGGTGTCTCAGAGAGGGGGCGTCAGGGAGGACTCGGTGCTGTTCGGGGGGATGTGGAAGCAGCGCTGGGCTCTGGGTGGGACCCAGTCAGGATGGTGCGGGTGTCACTGGTCACTCACAGCCGGCACAGGGAGGTGGGTCACTGCACACGGTTCCTGATTCCTCTGTGCTGTCACCCCACCCTTGAGTGGCCTTGACGTGGCCCTGACCCACCCCAGTGAGGGAGCACCTTGTCTGAGGTGCTGCCCCACGAAAGTGCTCGTTTTTGCACGTCAGAGCTGCAGTTCGAGTTCCCCGGACACAGCCCTGCCCTGTGGCTTCCAGTGCGGGGGGGCTGGTGGAGCGGGGACGGTGCGGGCCCCTGGCCTTGTCCCCCACACAGCCGCCTCCTCAGCCTGCTGTCCCGTCCTGCAGACCTGAGGTCCCCGGACTGAGCTCCCCCTGCAGGACTCTGTGTGTTCAGGTCCTCAGAGGGCTTCCTCCCCCTCTGTGTGTTCAGGGGCCTGGGGACAAGTGGCACTAACTTCCCGCTTCCTGGCCCTTTGTCCGAGGTCTTCCGTGGGAACATTTTCCCCTCTGCACAGCCTCGCTGTGGGCACTTCCGGGGGGAGACCCTGCAGGGAGAGCCGAGCAGCCTGGCAGTGAGGGCAGCAGCAGCCTCCCGAGGGGCCGTGCATAGAGTCACCGCTCAGGCGGCCGCTGTATATCATGTGTCTCCTCCTCACGGGACGGCACGGCCCCCACAGGACAGGCAGAACAGACAGGGGCAGTGGCATGGGACCCACTTAGGCTAAGGGGCACCACCTGCATGGAGAGGTGAGGGGCTCTGCCAGGGACCAGCCTGTCTGGGGCAGGGGGGAGGGGAGCCTGCGGCAGTCTCTAAGGGGACTTGGGGGAAGCAGCCTCTGCTCTGGTCCAGAGCCCCCTGGATCCAGCACGAGGGTCCAGCCAGGGTCAGGCAGTGGCCCCATCGGGGATCAGTCTCTGCTGCACAGCACACGCTGGGAGCAGCTCCTGGTGAGTCCCTGCTGGGCTCGTCAGTGTGGGCGCCCCTCCCTGGTGAGGAGACCCCCACCAGTACAGAGGGCTCCCCACGATTCAGCTCACTTCTCCTCCCCAGCGCTGGGCTCTGATCCCCACATGGACATGAAGGGCTACGAGGCTGGAGGGATCCGCCTGGAGTGCACGTCTGGCGGCTGGTACCCGCAGCCCCCAGATCCAGTGGAGAGACACCAGGGGACAGAGCTTGTCCCTCGGAGGCAGCATCTGCGGCTGCAGACCCCCAGGGCCTTTATGCAGCCTCAGCCTCTGTGATCCTGGAAGACGGCTCTGGGGAGGGGGTCTCCTGTGTCATCAGAAACCCCCTGCTGGGCCAGGAGAGGTCAGCCAGGCTGTCCATCCCAGGTGAGTGCCCTGCCCCCTGCCCTGGGCTCCTGGGTGGTGAGCTGGGGGAAGGCGCAGTGATTGCTGCTGACCTGGGTGTCTGGGGGACATGAGGGCACAGAGCAGGGGCCTGGGGCTCCTCCCCCTGAAGTGGTTCATGTCACAGACACCTTCTGAGCACTTCCTGCCACACACGGAGCCAGGCAGTGGGACAGGGGACAGACGGGAAAGATCAGCAAACACACCAGGAGGGGAAATAGGTACACCCCAAATCTCAGTGAAAGGGCTAATGTCCTTACAACATAAAGGAACAGCGTGGATAAAAGAGCAAAAACAGGAATCATCAGTTCCCAGGAAGGTAAAACTCCCAGGAGGATACCAAATCTGACGCAACAGGGAACTATTTCCCCCTGGGAATTTGGCAGCAGCAGGACAAACGAGGTGGTGGTCGCCCTCTGGTGGCGGGCTGTGGGGAGACAGCCCCGTAGCCGTCTGTGCTCCCGGTGTTGGGTGGTGTTGGTGGGGGTCGGCCCCCGTGCTGTGGGGGCGCAGGGCCGTCTGCACCCGAACTGCTCACTGACTGATGCCAAACCCACTTCTGGGGACCACCCCGCGGGCCAGCCTGCAGCGGTGGGACGTGACCCCTGTGACCGGGTATTTTCAAACCAGTGATCCCGGGGACAAAGGGCAGAGCCTAAGCTTGCCCACCAGAGAGGACCCTGTGCGCCTTGGGGGCTACCCTGGGGGATGGACACAGGCCTGCTCGCTGTGCTGGAGCGGGCAGGTCGCCGAGACACAAGACAGGATGGCCACCATGCACAGCAGCCGCATAGGGGCCTGATTTTGCTCTAAAACAAGATGAAATAAAATATTTACTTTTCAAAACTGAATGAAACCTGCGTGGGACTCACCCTGCGTCAGGCTCTGCATAAGCACTAACTGAATGCTCTCACTGATCAGGACGCAGCAACAGACGGTTACGTCATTAGTTCAAGGTCACAGCGCTGGTCGGGCAGGAGACCCGGGACTGGAACCCAGGCCCCCAGCTCCAGAGTCCGTTCTTCATCACCAGGCTCTGCTGACTGAGGGGGGGGCAGGTAGTCAGTGGGGGAGGGGGTGCAGAGGGGCCGTCAGTGACACTGTGTGTGCGTCCTCATGCTCCCTCTCATCCCATGGGGGCGGAGACGTTTCAGGAAAACCGTCCTGACTGTGTGACAGTGAGAGTCTGGGTGCTCTGGGGACAGAGAGATCCCTTCAGGGCTGACGCTACCCCTTCTCAGGTGCCTTCTTCAGAAACACACTGCCTTGGACAGCGTTCCTCTCCCTGACCCTGCTGACTGTTGCCGGGCTCCAGTTGTGTTTGATCTGGTTGCTGTGGCGACGGCGGAAGAGGATCCAGGCCCGGTGCAGGAAGGAGAGAGCTCAAGCTGAGAAAGTAGCAGCCCTGAGAAATGGCGATCCTCTGTAAGATGCGAATTCAGGAGCGTCTGGAGAATGTTAGCAATGAGCTGGTGCGGAAGGTGTCTTAGGTCGTGAGGACGCAGAGCCCCGAACTGGAGTCAGCTCTTTAGGCAACGACTGGGACTTAGCAGCATCCGGGGTGCTGACCTTCCCCAGGTCCCTTTTTTCAGGCCTTTGTACTCTTCTTTAGACAGTACAGCATATGTGGTTTTACAATTTTCTTTATATGTTAAAATTTCTCTTACATAGTGTGCTCACATGTTTGTAGAAACTTTTTCACCCAATAAAATTCATATTCTAAATGGTGTTGCCTCTCATTCCTGGTGCGGGGACAACTTCGGGTGTGTTGTCCTGGGAAGGGGACATGGTGCACAGAGAGTCAGAGGAGCCGAGGGTGTGGTTTGTGGGTGCAGGGCCCCGAATCGGGGACCAAGGCCCAGAGTGGCCTCTTGTCCGGGTTGTGGTGTCCCTGGGGCCTCCGTCCCTCGGACTGACAGCACCGTCCGTCCAGCGCTCCCCTGAGAACGCGCCCGCCCTGCCCCCTCCTCACTCACCTTGAGCAGCACCCGTCCTTGGAGGTGCTCACCCGGGGCCCCGCACTCCCGTGGGGCACCGAGCACCTTCAGCTCCCACGCAGTCCCTCGGCGAAGTCCACGCCACTCCATCCAGCCTGTCCCATCCAGACCCTTGGGTGTCATCCCCACAGGCATCTCCTCCTGAGTCCCCCCCACCCCAGGGTGTGAGGGTCCCCTGTCCCTTCCAGACCTGTGTGCCCAGCCCCCTAGGCCCTGCCTCCCTCCACGCTGCTGCCCGTCACTGACTCAGCTTCTGTCCACTCTGGCTCCCCTCTGGCTTCCCCGAGTCCAGTCTCCTCCACTGCAGCTGGACTGGGGGGTGGGAGCACAGATCTGGCCACCACCCTCCCCACCACCCACCCTTACCCCACCCTGGGGAGGGTCTCTGCCATTCCTGATTCCTTTAGGGAGATGGCAGCCCCGCCCGCACCTCAAGCCCAAACCTCTTGGCATTCCGTACGATGTGGTCACGCTGAGTTTGTCAGCAGCTTGGCTTCTCCTGGGGTCACTCGCAGGACAGTCCACTCGGCCTGGAACACACATCCCGTCCACACCCCAAGTCCCTTCCTCTAAGCCTGCTTGGAACTGGTCATCGGGCAATGCTGACTTCAGCACACATGCACGAGATGACCTGTCCCTGACGCCTGCCTCACCTTGGCAGCACTGCGACCTCTACACCTCACCCTGTGCAGGGCCACATCGAGGGACTGTCCTTCCCAGCACCCTATGTGATCCCAGGGACAATGCTCCAGTGCACCGGCCACGTCCACCTATACACCACAACTCCCAGCATGCCGCGGGACCCTGGTGTTGAAGCCTGAGGCGGTTGCCTAGCGAGCAGACCTGTTCCCTAGGCGAACCAGGGGCGGGGCAGGTTGGGGCAATACTTTCAGTCCCACCGAGCATGCCAGATTCTGGGAATGAGTCCCTGTGGTTTGGGGTCCAGGATTACTGGGACGGCGGGATGCTCCCAGGAGCAGGGTGAGTGCTCACAACAGGGCGTTTGAGGGGTGACCCCAGCCGGAGGGGCTGGCCCCCGGGTCAGACAGGGGTCACCCCAGTCCTGTTGGGCCTGAGTTGTCCAGGGTCTTGGTGGGCCGCCCTCCAGGCCCGGTGTGGCCAGAGACTCGAGGTAGACGCCTGCCTTCGAGGCGGAGGGGAGACCGCCTGTCCCCAGCTGTGGAAACCGGGGGGACGCGGCTCACATGAAAGGTCCGGGATTTTATGACGGCGTTCTTCGCGGCGGGCAAACCGCGCATTTGGGCGTCAGGACCCCTTTATTGGCCGGGAGGGTTGGGTGAGCAGCCCTGGCGGCCCTGCCCACTGAGTCCCTGATGTCACTGGGGTAGACGGGGGTGTCCGCAGGCTGATTCCCTGGGACCCGCGGATTCTGACAATCTGGGGCAACCTTCCCTCAGGACACACGCTGCACGTGGGTGTGTCCCCTGGCTGGGGGAAGTGAGAGGCCAGCTCTTCTGAGACAGCCCCAGCCCCCAGCACCCCCAGTTGAGGGTGTGGAAGGCCCTCGGTCCCTGTGGTCCCCCTGCTCCCGAGGGCGTGCTGGGCCTCCAGGTGGGGGCTTGGAGACGCGGGAGGCACCCAGGTGACAGGCTGCTGAGCCACACCAGCACCCACTGTCAGGGCACCCAGCACACCACGGACAGGGGTGCCTGGATGCCAGCGCCGTCCCCACCCACAGCCGGGGTTCACAGCCAGATTGGGGTGCAGGCATGGTGGGCTGGGTCCCAGCGGCAGGGGACGGAAAGGCCTCAGTGATGGTCGACCCGGGACAGGCTGTCCGGGCGGAAAAGGGCAGCTGGGTTCCTGTGGTCGCTCCAGTGAAGCAAGTTCTTGGTTAATTTTCACCGTGAACCACGTCGCTGTGGTGTTTCGTTCCCTTTCGTGGCTTCAGAACTTGAGCTTTTCCGAGCCTTGGTGAGAGGTGCCCTGTTTTGCTCCAAGAGGCCTGGGGCGGGACCCGGGAAAGTCTGGATGACTGACAGGCTCCCCGTCCGAACCCTTCACCTTGGGGGTGTCTCCCGCCACTGTCCTTTCCCAGGACACAGCCCGCAGGTGCCCGGGCAGAGGGCAGTGCCCCTGTGTTCCTGCAGAACCAGCTGGGCAGTGACCCTTCCGATTTTACTGACACGGCCGCCACCTCGGTTCCTCAGTGACGTCGGCCCCCCTGTCCGGAGTGTGTAGAGTTCAGCATGAAGAGACTTGGGGCAACCTAGGAGGTAGTACCTGTAGTTAACAACGTGGTGTTGTGCACGTAAAATGTCGCTAGGCCCTGGCTGGTGTGGCTCAGTGGACTGAGTGCTGGCTTGGGAACCCAAGAGTCACTGGTTCGATTCCCAGTCAGGGCACATGGCTAGGCTAAGGGCCAGGTCCCCAGTGTGGGACACACAAGAGGCAACCACACATTGATGTTTCTCTCCCTCCCTTCCCTTCTGTCTAAAAATAAATTAATAAAATCTTTAAAAAGAAGTATCTGGTGCCTGCTAGTTGTCTGCCCTAAAATGGCAAGAAAAGGGGTTTTATTTTGTTATATTTTACTTTATTTTTATATTATTTGGAGATGGATTTACTCATTGATTGATAAGAAAGGGCTTTTAAATAACCCCCCGTGGACACGGAGGTAAGGGGAGAGGGTGCAGGACCACAGAAGATGGAGAGTGAGCGACAGTGTGCTCGCTGCCGTGTAGTTCCAATGAGCCTGCATGTCCGCTGGCCCCGGGAGCGCTGCAAGGAGGCGCTGCCTGCGACAAAGCCCCAGCGATGCCCGGGAAGGAGGGACACGATCTGACTCTGCAACAGGGGTCCGTGCGGTCCGGAGAGCCCAGGTCTGTGCTGTTCCTGCGACAAGGAATTTAATCCGGGCTCACTCTCCTCCCCCGCTCCCCCTCCCCCAGAACACGAGGGGCCGCTCTCTGAGGGGTCGACTCAAGCAGGCTCTGCACTCGGGGTCCCCGGGCACCGGTGGACTGTGTGAGATTTGGTGTCATTAGTTTGTTTCCTGAAGTGTCGTCTCCAGGCCCACACAGCTGACCCCCAGACTGTGCGGCCAGCAGAAGGAACAGAGCACAAGGGGAAACGCAAAGCCCAATGGCCGTGCCTGGAACGGAGCGCGGGCAAAGCCGTTCACACGGGGTGGGGAGCCGTCGGCACCCTGATTTCTCGTGTCACAGGTCATCTCCGACGAGGCCACTGACTCCATTTTCACTCCCTGGGCGGGAAACACTGGACCAACTCTGAGCCTGACGCCCACGCTGGCTCGTAGCAGAGGTGTGAGGGTTTCCTGTCACTGTCACAGAGGGGCCTGGTTTCAGTTCATAAAGTCTGGTTTCGGGGGTCCCCAGGTCCTGAGTCCTCGGGTGTCATGAGCTTGAGTCCCATCCCTGTTTGTCGGCCCGGTCAGGGGCCATGATGCCCGGCCCACGTCCTCCCAGCTGAGCTTCTGTGACGTCCCCTGGGTTCAGGTGGCCTTCCAACCCCCACCTGCAATTGGGGGCCCTGCGGGTGGCCTGAGGGTCAGAGCTCATGGGTCTGCCTGGCGTCCCCTTGGCAGTGTCCTCCGAACAAGAGTCAGCTCAGGTCACGTTCAGTCCCCAGTGGTCGCTCCCTAGAGTAGGACAGATCCTGGGGACACAGACCCCTCCGTCCCAGCGCCGCGTGCCCCCCACAAAGCCCTTGGCATTGGCATCCCCCATCTCGGGCCGTGTGTCCTCTGTCCGGGTTCCTGCGCCGTGACGACGCTCTCCTTTCAGACGAAGCAGCTTCTGCAGTCTGTTCTCGTCCTAAATACACGCCCGTCCTCCTTGGTAACTCAGGACGTACTATGGAGCGGCTGTCCCCACGGACTCGCTACCACACCGTCCTCTGCCGGGGGGCGGGGGGGCGGCCTCCCCTTCCCACTGGGCCCCCCTCCAGTGGTGGAGACCCGCCGCCATCCCCGGTGTCTCCGTGTCCGACCGCCACGACCGTCGTCCCCCACACCTGCACCAGCGTCCCCCGGATGCGGGGACCCCAGGCGGCGTCATACTTCAGTGTTTCAAGGTAGCTGACGATTCCCCCTGCCACGGCTTGCTCAGACGGTAAAGCTGTTCTTCAAGGCGGTGGTTCCCTTCCGTCTGGAAAGGCGGTCTGGGGTCCAGAGCACCCGGGGCTGACAGGTGCCCTCGGGGGCGCCCTGGGAACTCACCCATCACTTGTTCTTTGCTTTCACCAAACTTCTCTGCGACCCCGCCGAAGGAGGAGGGTGAGACTTTAAATGCTGCATCACAAAGTCCGGGGATCCCCTCCTCCAGTCCCCTCCAACACGGGAAGGAACCGGGTCGTTCCCAGCGGGACCTCCGCACACTTGGGCAGGTGTGCCCACAGGTCAGAGTTGTCCCGCAGCGAGGGGCCGCCTCCCGCCGGCCAGCAGGCTGCACCAGCATGCCCACCGACAGCAGGGGCGGGCACGGTGGGGGGCAGAGGGAGACAACCCTGTGCCCTGCCGGGGCAGGGGGCAGACGGGCGCCGCCCCCGTGGGAACAGTGTGGGGGTCCTCGGGGAGCTGTCGGGGGATCTGCCTCTGACCCAGCGACCACTGTGGGTATCCCACCCTAGGAATCCCGAATCCCCAATCCAAAGCGCCCTGCACCCCACGTTCACAGCAGCACAGTTTACAGGAGCCCAGTGCTGGGAGCAGCCCAAGTGCCCACCAGTGAGTGGACCCTGTCCCA